CCGGAGTTTGATCCCCGAAAATCGTTCTATAGTAAACAAATTAGTAAAAACTTGGCTGTAAACATTTATAAGAATAAATCGTGGGGAACATATCGACATTCGGTTTTGGAGGAACTACAAAAAATTAACTGTGAACATTCTTATGCAGATTTCAAAAGTAGAGGAGACATATCCAGTTGCGAATGGTTGGAGGGACATTTATCTGAGGAAGTTCCATTGAAAGCACAGCGTTTGGTTTCAGTAAGTTACGTAGTATGTGGTTCTATGGAAATGATAACTTACTGTTTGTAGACATGTTATTCATCAGTTAACTTTAAAGATGTTATGGCTGCTTCTGGGCGCGTAAATCCCGAAATTTTACAACCACATCGACTTGGCCAAGAGATACTAATAGGATTTGAATTTTCCGGAAAAGATTTAAGGTGGTATTTTTTATTTACTGGAAAAAACAAATTTCCAAACTTTATTTACAGTGGTCGTAGAATAGCTGGCGTAACTAACAATCAAGGTATCTCATCCTATTTTACTTTAGATCCTTCCTTAAATTGGAAAATACCAGAATCATGGACACTTGAAGATGCAGCAACGGTTCCTGTTGTGTATTCCACTGTTATTTATGCTCTTTTAATGGTACGTATATGAACAAAATTCTTCTCCTTATTAATGTCTCTTCCAGATTGGCGATATGAAACCAGGTTCTTCAGTTCTTATTCATTCCGCTACTGGTGGCACTGGACTAGCTGCCTTAAACATTTGTCTTCACTATAAATGCGAAATTTATGTAACCGTTGGGACTCAGGAGAAAAGAGCCTATTTAAAAGAAAACTATCCAGAAATTCCAGACAACCATATTGGGAATTCACGAGACGCTTCATTTGAACAAATGATTAAAACAGCAACCCATAATAAAGGAGTGGACATGATTCTGAACTCCTTGAGTGAGGATAAAATGCAGGCTTCGATTAGGTGTTTAGCACGAGGAGGAAAGATTATGGAAATTGGGAAATACGATTTGGCGAATGACAGTCGTTTAAATCTTTTGTTCATGGAAAAAGAAGCTAGTTATCACGGCATTTTGTTAGAAGCTTTTTATAGAGACTTTAGTAACGAAATGAAACCTAAGCTGGTGAATCGTTTAGTAGAGGGAATTGGAGAAGGTTTTGTAAAACCACTTCCCAGGACTGTGTTCAGTGCAGATGAAGTTGAAAAATCGTATAGATACATGATGACGGGCAAACATGTTGGTAGAATACTGATCAAACTACGGAATGAAGAGGAAGGTAGTGTCAGTACATTCCACATGATGTCAAATCCACGGTAAGTTGTCATTAAGAATAAGCACGTTTGGACGAACAATAAAAAAATTGGGGCCATGCTAAATAGGTAACCGTGAAGTAACTCCACAACTTGTTATACAGGATGCATTGAATAACAACTATCGTATGCTCCAAAAGTTCTCACATATCGGGAATTTGTGATTAACTAATTTATCCCTAAACTTATCCTATTTCTGTCCTGTAAATATTAGATGTATCACGTACAATCTATCATTCCGCCACTTCAACTGTCAAATCAAATCCTCGTCAACTGCTGTTTTCAACGACGTAGTTGGAAGAAACCACTATCTCCCAGTGCACCCATTCTAGATGGTGCCATAATTTTCGAGGTGGTGTCTTTTTATCTCAATTGTGATGATTTTTACTTCCCGAGCGTAAGCAAAGGAAGTATTGTAATCGAGTCCGTCGGCCGACTCTCTACTTTTACGTTTTCTCGATCTTTCATGCCCCCTAGAAGACGAAGAAATAGGTCTGCCATTTCCGTCTGTCTGTCCGTCTGTCTGCCGTCCAGGATTTTTATTAGACAGATAATCTCCGAAAGTACTGGACCGATTGTTGTGAAATTTTGTACTTATATTAGGAATATCATGTAGATGGTAAAACGCTAACCAAAATTTGTCTAATCATCCCCACCACTAATGCGATGACGTCACTTCAAAATTGTACATAGTAAATGGGTTTTAAATTGTATAAAATAATATAGTCCTACAAATGTAGTTTACGACTCCGAATTGAGTTTTCACCCGAAACGTCCAAATTTTTGAAAAAAAAATCAAAATTATAAAACAACATTTTGAAATTTAATTTTGAATCTGCTAACCCGAATGCTTTGAAATGTTGCAGATGTTTTAAAGCTATAAAGAGCATCATAAATCTTTAGTCAAAATATATTTGGTTATGCTCTCCAAAAACTTGATGACGTCAGCTCAAAAGTTTGCCGAATAAATCATATCTAAAATGAACAAAATATGATGAGTCTGTACTTGTGATCTATCACTCCATTCATATTTTTTGGATTTGCATATACAGGGTGACTCAAAAAAATTAATGAATGCGTAAATTTAATTTACTGATTCACTCAAGAACTACAAAACCGAATACTTTGAAATCTTGCAGATGTTTTATGGTTATAAAGAGCATAATAAATGTACGTTCAATATATATTTGCTTATCCCCTCTATACAATTGATGACGTCAGCTCGAAAGTTTGCCGAATAAATCCTATCTAAACTGTAAAAATATGATGAGTCTGTACTTGTGATTTATCACTCCATTCATATTTTTTGCATTTGCATGTACAAGGTGACTCAAAAAAATTAATGAATGCGTAAATTTATTTTATTGATTTAATCAGGAACTACAAAACCGAATGCTTTCAAATCTTGCAGATATTTTAAGGTTAATAAAGAGCATCATAAATGTTTAGTCAAAATATATTTGCTTATCCCCTCCAAAAACTTGATGACGTCAGCTGAAAAGTTTGCCGAATAAATCATATCTAAAATGTACAAAATATGATGAGTCTGTACTTGTAATATATCACTCTATTCATATTTTTGGATTTGCATATACAGGGTGACTCAAAAAGATTAATGAAAGCGTAAATTTATTTTACTGATTTACTCAGGAACTACAAAACCGAATGCTTTGAAATCTTGAAGATGTTTTAAAATTATCATAAGCATGGTAAATTTTTGATCAAAATGTATTTGGTCGTACCCCCTAAAAAAATTATGACGTCACCACAAAATTTTGCTGAATAAATCCTATCTAAAATGTACAAAATGTGGCGAGTCTCTTCTTGTGATTTATCATTCCATTCAAATTTTACGATTTGCATATACAGAGTGACTCAAAAAATTAATGAATGCGTGAATTAATTTTATTGAGTTAATCAGGAACTACAAAACCGAATGCTTTGAAATCTTGCAGATATTTTAAGGTTATAAAGAGCATAATAAAGGTTTAGTCAAAATACATTTGCTTCTCCCCTCCTAAAAATTGATGACGTCAGCTTGAAAGTTTGCCGAATAAATCATATCTAAACTGTACAAAATATGATGAGTCTCTACTTGTGATTTATCACTCCATTCATATTTTTTGCATTTGCATGTACAAGGTGACTCAAAAAAATTAATGAATGCGTAAATTTATTTTATTGATTTAATCAGGAACTACAAAACCGAATGCTTTCAAATCTTGCAGATGTTTTAAGGTTTATAAAGAGCATCATAAATGTTTAGTCAAAATATATTTACTTATCCCCTCCAAAAACTTGATGACGTCAGCTGAAAAGTTTGCCGAATATCATATCTAAAATGTACAAAATATGATGAGTCTGTACTTGTAATATATCACTCTCTTCATATTTTTGGATTTGCATATACAGGGTGACTCAAAAAAATTAATGAAAGCGTAAATTTATTTTACTGATTTACTCAGGAACCACAAAACCGAATGTTTTGAAATCTTGAAGATGTTTTAAAATTATCATAAGCATGGTAAATTTTTGATCAAAATGTATTTGGTCGTACCCCCTAAAAAAATTATGACGTCACCACAAAATTTTGCTGAATAAATCCTATCTAAAATGTACAAAATATGGCGGTCTCTTCTTGTGATTTATCATTCCATTCAAATTTTTTCGATTTGCATATACAGAGTGACTCAAAAAATTAATGAATGCGTGAATTAATTTTATTGAGTTAATCAGGAACTACAAAACCGAATGCTTTGAAATCTTGCAGATATTTTAAGGTTATAAAGAGCATAATAAACGTTTAGTCAAAATACATTTGCTTCTCCCCTCCTAAAAATTGATGACGTCAGCTTGAAAGTTTGCCGAATAAATCATATCTAAACTGTAGAAAATATGATGAGTCTGTACTTGTGATTTATCACTCCATTGACATTTTTGGGATTTGCATATACAGGGTGACTCAAAAAAATTAATGAATGCGTAAATTTATTTTATTGATTTACTCAGGAACTTCAAAACCGAATTCTTTGAAACCCACTGCGAAAAAAAAACAATCATGCAGTCGTCACGTTTCCGACAGCGAGGGAAGTACTGTCTAAACTCTTTAGACCAATTTTTTTAAATACAAAATACTTATTTCTTTACAAGAAATTAAAAACATGATGATCGTGTTGTTCAAAGAATTCTATGTATACTAAGGAATAAAGTCACAATATAAAAAAGGTTTTCGATATCTCGATCTTTCAACATTTCAATTTTGGGAATCCTTAAATTGCTGGATTTTTAAAATTTTCGATTTTTTAAATTCTAGATTTTTGGATTTTTGAATTATTCGATTTTTAAAATGTTTGATTTTAGATTCTTCACTTTTTCGATATTTTAATTTTTCGACATATATTTTAGATTTTGACCTTTCCGATTTCTCCACTTTTCAGTTCTCCAATTTTACCACTTTTTAATTTTTCGATATTTTTAAATTTACGTTTATCAGTTTTTTGTTGTTTCTGTTTATCGATTTTTGGACTTTTGGAAATGTTCTATATGATAACTAAAAAATAACTCAAAATGTTATAACTCCTGGTAACGGGTGTTACCGATTCTTAGACAATAAGAGTGTTAACCTGAAATTAATAACATTTATTTTAGAACATGTAATAGAAACAACTGTACCTTTTGTAGTTTATGAAAAAATCCAATAATTTTTGTTTGCGATTTTTTTTTTAAATTCTTGGATCCTATTTGGGGATATATTTTTAGGAAAAAGAACTGAATGAATTCCCATGTTAACGAACTTTTTTTTGGATATTCCAAATTAAACATGAAATATAAGGCAAACATTTCGTTTAACGCTTGATCCATCTCTAAATATGTATTAATAATTTCTTGTTCCATGACGATATTGTAACGCTTTGTTCCATCACCTATAAAAAGAGTTTTTAAAGAAATAAACTAACCTTATTCATGAGTTCGTAAATACATCAATTAAAGCAACTTCTTTATAACAAAATTTTTACTATTCACATAATAATCAAGCATTCAAAATTGCGAATTGTTGTGAACAGTTGTGATTTGTATATAATAAACTCTTACCTTCGGTCTTTGTTATTATTTTTGGTGATATTATGTCTTCTAAACTAGAGAAATCCTGGAATTATATTATTACTATTTTTATTATTATTTATCAAAACTTACTACCTCTTCTTAGCTGAAAATTTCACATACGTCTTCAGCAAAATATTTGAAAATTATACTTAGAACACATTTAATAATTTCATTATTTTCCGTTGGTCTGCTTTTAATAATATGTCTCTTGATACCAAAATTAATTATGTTTTCGGATTTCAAAAATAAATTTTTAGATAACAAATCTATACTTTTATTCATTAATCTTTTGAAATGGAATTTAATTCCAACTGACTTTAGCAAAATTGGCCATTCATTTTTGATATCAATTACAGTGGGAGTTTTATTAATAAAATATCGTTGGTGTGCGTAATTCTTTTGTAATAACTCCATCACACTCTCGTCAGAACAGTTTTCCAAATCAATTTCTTTTAGTTTTTCTTTTATTTCATTGTCTTCGTTTGAACCACATGGAGATGGCTGCCAATCCACGCAACCTGCTTTTGCAGACAACAACTTGTTTCTTTTATTAATTGGGACTGGGAGTGTTGATTCAACTGGGGAATTTCTTTTATGTGTAACTTTTAGGTATTTGTACCTTTCTTTGAGCTGATTGCAGATAGTAATGAAACCATTTCCAATTACCATCCCGTCATCGTCATAATCTTGGAAAGATTCAGGATATTTTGCCACTAGTTTATGAGCGATGATTTGAAAGGTCTTTGTTGGTATTTCGTTACTTATATCTAACATATTATCAACAATAACGTTAACAACTTTTCTTCTGGTTTGTTTATCGCACTGACTTTTTTCAAGGGAATCGATAGTAGATCGTGTTAATTTTTCCCAAGGAATCTTAAAATGAATCCAAGTATTTTCAGAAACGTTTAGCCCTTCACTGCTAGTAGACGGTATAGTAAGAGTTGAGTCGCTGCTTAATTTTTTCTGTTCTTCAGAATCTAATGTTGTAGTACATGTGGGTGAGGAAATTTTAGCAGTGTCATTACATGGTTGCCACACTTCATTTTTCTTTAATAACAACAACACTTGATCTTGAATGGTTTCCAAATTTATGGAATCATCATCAACTTCAGTTCCGTCTGACTCTAAATACAGCTTAAGCTCATCTGATTCGTGTATATTTAATTTTCGACTGGCTGCAGTATTTTATTCAAACAATTAATTGCATAAATTAATTATATTTGGTTACCTTTAGAAATAAGTTCCTGAAGAAGACTCGCATTCGTGCACTGCAACAAATTTTTTAATTGTTCGTGCTGCATTCCAAACCTTGAAAACTTTCATTTTTGTACATCAAGTGCTAAAAAAAAAAGATGCAAACAAAAATTGAAAAAATTTCATCGGTACAAGTTATTAGATTTGGGTACCTTGATAACATCTGTATTATACAAAAACTGCTTCCAATATATTACAGATTTCTTAACCATCCCAAAGAATAAGCGACACGTGGACTCTTCATTGTTGACTTGATGTTATCAAGGTGAATATGTGTTCCAAAATATTTTTCAAAAATATTATTTATCTTTACTTTTTTTAATAGATGACATCCAATATAATATTTAATAATGTGGTTTAGGGGCGTATAATTATATAAAAGCGTATTGTACTACATTTAGTAATAGAAGGAATATTTACGAACAATGATTATATTTTCCGATATTAGTATTAAAAAAAGTAATGTTTCAACATATCACTCTTCTTCAAATGGGGCAGATTTGAAAGAAAAAAGCACTTTTTCTGCAGTTACGAATGTGAGCAAAAGTTGGTGTGTTATTAAATCATCTATGTGTTTTCCGATAATTTTTTTCACATCAGTACATGTTGATGTCTCCAATAAACCTGTGACAGAATTGTAAGAAACTTCCATTGTCGAGCCAACAAAAAATACGTCTTTATATGTCTCATTAATAATAATGAAAACAATACAGAAAATAGAGTAGACATTATCGTCAAATTTAGAACTACACAAATGCATTCCCTCACTGTACTGAGTTCCCTTAAACGAAATTTTTTTAGAAACAAATAATTTACCACGGAAATTACAGAAACGTGAAATGCATGAACGAATATTTTGTTCATAATTTTCAGATATATATTCATTTGCATCATTAGCATTGACCAAATCAGAGAAAAGCGTACCATTTGATGTATGCACAGCCTGCAGTAATTGATGTTTTTCTGATAAATGGCGAATAATGTTTTTAAAACTAGTCGAATGTTTTAATATACTTTTAAAGTAAGTGTTTGCTCTCAAAGCGCAAAGTCCAAAGATGTCGAAGGGGACCAAATTTTTTTATCAAATACGCATAATGCAAGAAATAGTGGTGCTTTGCTCTCAGATTCACGTCGGGAAATAATTTAACTCTCATTTCCACATATTCGTATATTGATCTTCTCAAATTAGCCAACTGAGCAACAGAGATTTTAAAAGCAGTCAAAATGAAATGAATTTCACGTAATTTTAGAAGCATTGTCCAACAAGGATGTTCAATACGAAGATCATGCGTAGCAAACGGAAATATTATTAACAATCTCAAATTTTCAGAAGCACTACCCGTAAGTTTCTTTTTGTCTCCTTTTTTAATGGTCGGGATAGATTCGTAGCGACTTTCATTTAAGAAACGAAGTTTTTTTAATCGATTATTAAATGTTTCGTAAGTAAAACAATTTTGTGTAATAAGCTTTTCTAAGCAAAGTATGAAATCGTACTGAAGAACTCCTTCATAAATATCATGGGCTATACATGGAAGTAACCCAGGATTGCAAACATGAAAATAAGTACATTCATTTAAAATGGAATCAGACTTAACTCTCTTACTTGGTGCTCCTGTTGCCGATGCTAGAACAACGTCTAATTCGTGGGTAATTTTGTTTCTAAAACAGAACTGAGTTGAATAATTAATTTTTTTCATGATATCCTCTTTTGAAATGTAACAGTAACGGCATGGAAAATGTGTGCTGCTAAAGTTTTCAACAAACCCGCCGATTTGAAGGGTACCTTTAATAACCTCGCCCGTTCCAATTTTTATGCCTTCAGTTTCTAAAATTTTGATGTCGCTAATAATTGGTTTGCAAATATTTTTAAAACCATATTGCTTTACTACAGACTCTAAACAAAATGCAACCAATTGTATTTGATCAACTTAACTTCGATAGTGTGGTGGGACATTGCCAAAACACATATATATACCTACAATTTTGTGCACTAATCTAGACGAACCTAAAGGGTTGCAGACTTCAAATGCATCTTGATAAAGAATGATTTGCAAAGCATTGGAATATTTTTGGAAAAATACATTTTGTCGGTAGCACTCGCCATCAGAAAAATCGGAAAACACACCAGATTTTGATTTTCGAATCATTTTAAATTGTTTATAAAAATTGCTGTTTGACATTAAAACTTTAATAGTTTCTAATATAGGCACGTAACAGTAGAAACATTTTTTTGAACCTTTTTCGTCAAGAATAATGTCAACAGGAGCTACGTAATTAAAGTTTTTTTTGATAAAACTTTTTACGTACATAAGGCGACCTCAACACACTAGACAAAGGATTGTGTGCTTGATTAAAAAGATTATGTTTATTTACGATTTCAGATATATCAATATTGAATTTTGTTTCTACTATTTTGGAAATATTCTTTAAAGTTAAATCGTTCAGGTTGGCAAGATTTGCGGTCATTAGTTGCAAAGTAGTTTCGGTCATAAAATATTTCGCCTGCAATGTTAAATATGCCGAAGCCAGAGATTTAATGTAAACTTCGCTGAATAATTTTGACAAATTCACTTGCTCCTCTACAATTGCTGTGTCTGTAAAAAATTGAACCGTTTCACACGTCACGTTACCATCTTTTTTTTCAGGATTATTATGTGACGAATCTTCACACAGTTTTTGATTTTTGTCTCTCTTGCCATATTTTATTGCTGTGTAATGTAAACGATAAAAATGACGTTTCAAAGCACTGACGCTATGAAACACCGTAATATTTATGCAGTTCTCAAAGGGACACTTTACTTGCATTCCACCCTGTATGTGATCATACATATGATTTAATAATTTATTATATGACGATTCTATTTCAAAATAACAAAACTGCACATTACATTTATATGGTGACTGAGATCGGTTATTGTTTATGTTTGACCTTACAGATTCATTTTTATGTTTCCGATACACATGCATTTTAAAACTACGGTAATTAGTGTGTTGCTGTTGACAATTTTCGTATCTGCACAAAAATCTTGTCTGCTTTATCTGCCTATGATAATACTGATGTGAGTCGTAGTCTCTTAATGTGGGCAATTTTAAATTGCAAGTGTAACATTCAAAGTTCGACATTGTCACGTAGTTTTCTACGAAAGAGAGCATACAATGATAATTCAATTATAATAAGATACTTACCCAAATAAACACTGTATAATTGTATAGCAATGTAGCCAATTACGCACCAACACCACACGTGTATTACACTTCTTGTCATCTCTTCCTATATTATCCAGTTATGCCATAACATGTGCTGAATTGCGAATATTGTTCCACTGCTTGTCGCAGACGAAAAGCGGGAAAGGTCGTGATTGGTAAATTCAAGGTTAAGATAAACAGGACTGTATTCGCACCGTGCTGGGCCGGTTTCGGAAAAAAAATTCAAAATCGCAGGCCCATGAAATAAAGGTACACATACCCGTTTTTATTAAAACAGTTTCAGATATTATGTACACATGTAATAAAAACGCCAACAGACGGCAGACGATAGACAAACGAAAACGGGAAACCAATTTTTTCATATTCTTTGGGGGTACATGAAATGTCGGGAAAACATGAAAGTAGCCATTCGTCAAATGGCCCTAGTACTCGGAAAGTGATATGATAAAATAAATTCATCGAATACATTGCAGGTTTGATTGTGGTTTGAACTACGTAAGCTGGGGAATATTGTATATACTAGGGTCCATTCGCCGACCCTTCGACTATGAAAAATGAATGATGAATCAATGAATCTCCTGTTTTTTTATTCATATAGTTTCTCTTTATTTGAACTTTTAAATCAGAGACTAGATTTTTCTACTGTACTCGAGGGGCGATGGAAGTTCGATTTAAATAACCTTAGACCAACTTTTTTATAGTAGAAAGTGACATGTAAAAGATTTGTTTTCGTGTATTTTTGTGTTACATTTTATGTAGGAATTTTACATTTTAAGTATTAATTTTGCTGACCAGTTTAAAATTTACTTATTGGAAATAATAATTACACACAAGTCCATTAATATTCACACTTTGATGGTAAAATTTTCTATAAATAGAGTAACTTCTCTCATTTATAGTAAAAATACTTCGAATACGTGTAAAATCCCACTTTAAAGTATAAAATAACTCAGAAAAGGTAAAAACCCTTCATTCATGTAAAAACACTCGTATAAAATGAGTAAGATTTCAATTTTTGTAGGGTAAAATTACACTAATTTTTTTCAGTGTACTGACCCACTGTCGATTTCCACTACACATTTTTCCAATTATTATAACGGTTACTTCTGATCGATCTCAAAGTTCTCTTGTTTTCTATTGCCGCCTTTAAGCTGAACGTGCTGAATCCCTGTCATTTCTTTGCCAAGTACACTCCCACTATGTGGCACGTACCAGCATGAACTCTTTTTGAATTTACATTTTTTTGGGTCGTGCAATTCTCCGCATCTAAAACAACCTTTATTGTCTGTGTTTGATGCCGAATATTTTGATAAGGTGCAGTCTTTATTTTCATTTTGTGTTGTTCATAGGACAGTTTAATTTTTTTAATTTTTTTTTAATTTTTGTTTTTTTAGTTTCCATTGTGACGTGCGTTACACCTATGTCGTTATTGGGGGTCTAGGTGGAGTTGATTTAGAATTAAGCGACTGGTTGGTCCTGAAGGGTGCAAGAAAACTAGTTTTAAGTTCGAGATCGGGTATTCAAACTGGTTACCAACAGCAAAGAATACAGTAAAATATAATCTCTACACGCAGTAAAGATATTCAATAGCCATTTTAGTATTTGGACATCATACGGCGTCGAAGTTAAAATTTCTATGAAAAACGTAACCACTGAGCGAGGATGTGAAGATTTAATTAATGAAGCAACTGAGCTTGGACCTATCGATGCTATTTTTAACTTAGCTGTGGTCCTTACAGATGCACTATTTGGAGATCAAACTCAAGAAACTTTCGAAACTTCGTTCGCACCTAAAGCTCGCGCTACACTATATTTGGATCGAGTCACTAGGAAATTGTGCCCAAAACTAAGGTTTACTTGCAACTTCAAAGTACCGATTGATTCTGACCATATACTTTAGGTATTTTGTCATATTTTCGTCACTATCTTGTGGTCGTGGAAATCCGGGTCAGAGCAACTACCAAATTCTGCTATGGAACGAATATGTGAGAACCGAAACCGAGAAGGATTACCAGCTGTGGCTATTCAATGGGGCGCAATCGGTGATGTACTTAACAAATTTTTAAAGATTTATTAAGATTGCAAATATTTTAAAGGTCGGTTTGGCGGCAAAAATGCAGAAGGAGAATAAAGAGTTAGCGTTTGGTGGTATCGTTCAACAAAAAATTTCAAGCTGTCTTGAGGTGCTAGATGTCCTGCTAAACCACAACTATCCAGTTGTTTCTAGTATGGTAGTTGCCGAAAAACAACAAAAAAATAACATTCTTAGTGCAGTAGAAACGGTTGCCTATGTTTTGGGAATAAAAGACTTGAAAAAGATAAGTCACACTACGACATTTGGGGAACTCGGTATGGATTCGATGATGGGTGTAGAAATTGTTCAGCTTTTAGAAAAAGATTTTGGAATCTACTTAACATCTAGAGATGCGAGAAATTTAACATTTGCAAAGTAATTATTATGTCTTTAACAAAATGTTGTAATTTAGTGCTGAATTTCAGATTGGCTGAAATGGAAGAAGGAAAAATGAACAAATTTGCAGAAGTTTTAGACAAAAAAACAGAAGAGGGCGAAAATTTGTTCATTCAGTATATTCCCAATCGCGAAACTGTTCATTTGCCTGCTGTTAAATTAAATAGTCATATAGACTCAGACCTCGAAGCTCCAATCGTGTTCGTATTACCAGGAGTGGAAAGCATTTTCAAGCCACTGGAATATTTGACGAACACATTAAAAGCACACGTAGTAGGAGTACAGTACAGTTATGACAATCCAGAGGACTCTATTAAAGAAATTGCACAAAACACACTACCGGTTCTCTAAAATTTACATATTCTAAAGTTAATTTATCTTATGTGCTTATATTTTCAGCATATAGAAAATTATTTATCCAGAGACAGCTCCTTCTACATTATTGGATACTCATTTGGAACTCTAGTCGCTCTAGAAATGATCAGTTTGTTGGAAGAAAAGGGCTATACTGGTATCCTGATTTTAATCGACAGTTCACCAGCTTATTCATCTTCTTCTTTAAAAAAACACTTCGCGCATGAAACGGACGCCCAATTTCAAACCGCTGTTTTGATGAAAATCTGTACTCTTTTGATTCCGTTAGATGTAGTTTCGCAATATGAGGTAACTGGTAAATCGCTATTTGCATTGATGTCATCATGGTGCGCTATCATTTTTTTTTAGGAAATGCTGAAGTGCAAAAATTTTGAAGAACGAATCGATTTGCTTTTGTCTTTGATACCTCTCAAAATAAGAAACGAAGTGAATTTAGAAAAGCAAGCTTGCATCGCACTGTATAACCGTTGTAAAGCTGTGTTTGACTATACGTTTGAAAATAAAAAAATCCAGTCGTCAACACATCTGTTCAAGGCAAAATATCCCATGGTTGACGAAGCAGATGATTATCAATTATCAGAAGTAAGCGATAATGTGGCACAAGTGACTGCAATAGATGGTGACCATGTAACAATTTTGAAAAGTCCAGGTCTTGTAAAAGCTGTTAGCAAAATAGTGGTACTAAAACAATAGCTTCACATAAATTAACCATCATAGATGATAGAGTTTATTTTCCTTTTTTATATTACATAGGCTAAAACCTGCATGCAAGCAACCGAAGCTACGCTGTCATAACTTACTGTTTTACAGCGTGCCGAGCCGTCACTGGAAAGGTATATTTTCCGCCGTTCTCTCCTGATCACAGTCAAAAGCGCATTCAAAACATGCTTTCATAGTAAAAGTACGATAATAAAGAGATAAACGATCGACAAAATAGTTTTATTCATCCACTTCCGGTTAAATTTTCCTGTCTGTCAATAAAACATGTGGTAATTTTGATAAAAACTGCAACAGTGGATTTGTGGGGGATCAACCTTTTCTACACGTATGGCATTATATAAAAACGCCACAGAAAACGTTAAAATTGTGTAAGACACGTCTAAAGTTTCACATATCCAATAATAGGACAAAAAAAAATTGTTGCTCAAAAAGTCAAGGCCATTTAAGCAAAAGTAAATTTTCGACACCTGATTACAAAAAGTGGCAAGTCACAAGTCAATCCAAAAAAGTGACAAGTGAGTCGAAAATAGCTATTTATCATATATCTAATAGTACTATATTGCTAACTGGCCTCAAAAGATTCCGAAAACATAACGATAGAGCAATATATCGGACCTCTCTGTCTCTCTGTGGTACTAAACAGTACTGCGCATGCACTCGTACTTGGTTGATTTGTAGTGGATAGCGTGACTGGATGCGTTTTGACATTTCGTACTTTCGCTTCTATTTTGTGTACATGCGCACAGACCCTCGGTACTCTTAGAGACAGAAAACAACATCTTCCGTCTCTCTCTGTCCGTGAACACCGTTTCTATGTTATTTCTGAAGAGCTAGCAATATAGTACTATTAGATATATGCTATTTATGCAGTAAGAGGTAAAAGTGACACATTTTAGTACACGACGTAAATTTGCCCACCGAGGCGTTAGCCGAGATGGGACAACACGTCAAGTAACAAATCTGGACATTTTGGATAAAAACTCAACACGGAGTCATAAACTACATGTTTAGGACTATGTTATTTTATACAATTTAAAACCTACTAAAATACTATGTACAATTTTGAAGCGTCATCATATTGCATTAGTGGGGATGTTTAGACAAATTAAACAAGATTATCTGTATAATAAAAATTGGAACGTTAGACTGACGGACAGACGGACAGACAGTTGGACAGACAGACAGACGGAAACGGGTGACCTACTTCTTCGTACTACTTTTCATTAAGAGCCATATTTTATGAACTGTAATCATTTCAAATATTCTGACTACACAGCAAATTACTGGAACAATAGTAGTATCTAAAAGTATAATCAAAGCTAATGGTGTATAAAATGTTATTCTTTTTTGTTCTCCTGAACACTCAATAAACAAATTACGTGAAAACAAAACTACATATTCATCTCTGGACAGAGACGTTAAATATTTATTAAATTTTTAAACATTTTGTTTGTATTTGATCACTTCATGAATATTTGTTTTAAATTGCTAATACACTAAATTTCCGTTTTTCTGTTTATAAATATGTGAACATTTCGTAAACAAAGTAATCGACTATTTTCTTCTTTATATAACCGCACGTCGTGTATTTCTTTTGTGTCTATTTCCGTTTACTTTGTTAACGTTGTTGCGTAGATCATTATGAATTTAAACGAAATTAAAGAAAAAGAATTACTTAACGCCAATTTTCGATATGGTCGTTGGTTGTCCTCTCCTCCAGCTGGCGAAGAAGTGGTCATATCTGGCATGTCTGGGCGTTTTCCTGAATGTGATAATGTTTACGAATTACGAAACAATTTGTTTAACAAAACAGACATGGTTACTGAAAATGAAAAAAGATGGAAACTCGATCATTGTGATTTACCGAAACGAAGTGCTCACATTAATAATATTGACAAACTGGATGCTGGCTATTTTGGGTTACATTATCGTCAAGCCCATAATACAGATCCTGCTATGAGAGTTTTGATGGAAACGGCCATAGAAGCTATTGTAGATGCTGGTATAAATCCGTTGGAGTTGCAAGGAAGTAAAACTGGCGTATTCGTCGGTTTTTCTTATTCAGATGTGGCGAATATTGCCTTATTCGGAAACCCTGAACCGCAAAAGTTTTCCATTACCGGGTAAGAAAATTTTATTCACAAATTTCAGAAGTAATAGATTGTGAAATTAATTTGTGTGTGCCCATTTTGTTTCGTAAAATATATATTATTTTTAATTTTCGCTAATCATCTCCGCCAGCAATTTTATGACGTCATCTCAATGAATTGTATTTTAAAATGATTTGAATGTTATACAAAAATATAATCCTACATTTGTTGTGTTAGATTCCGCTTTTAGTTTTTTCGCTAAACGTTCAAATTTTTGGGTTAATTTATCACTAGAGATCGGATGTCTAGGTTTAATTCTTTTTGTGAAAAATGTAAGCACTTCAAAACTTTTTTATATCTGTAACTATGATACAATTTGGAGTCATTTGACACATTTCTTTTTATGCTTATTTGCTTTTTTTTCAATTTTATGCATATTAAAACTTATATGCTTATTTATTGCTTTTTTCGACGAATATGAGTTTTAATGCATATTTGTTCAAATGCCGGCCTTGTCGGGATGACAAATACTTGTTAGTTAGGCCTATCGTGCCGTATGCATTTTACCTGGACTTGACCATTGAAGTACACTTACTCAAGACCCTTTCTGTGAATAGGTTCCGGTCGTTTGGGTAATAAAATTTTATTATAGGATTGGAAAAATACTCCATAGATTTTATGACTTTAAATCCTTACTTCCGTTGATAATGAATTAAAGCTTTTAACCAGATGTTCTTTTTTGGCATTTTGCGGCAAGACCGTTAAATATTTTTTAGAAAAAAGGATTACTGTACCCAACTACCTACCTTAAAATTTTTCTAATGGAACCTTTTAAGTAAATGAACCGTTTATTTCACAACCATCAGTCTATCGCATCTGTCGTAGAACAGTGTTATACGTGGTTCTCCCTCGTTACATGTTGAGTTCTTTTTGGTAATATTACTAATATTTTAAAAGAATGTCGAAAGTAAAATCGACGCCGGATGAGTGGATAAGGGATTTTCCAGAATTAAAATTAGAAAACAACAAAATATTCTGCAGAGCTTGTGTGAAAACCGTAAGCCCACTAATTTTTTTTTATCTATTTTCCTTTGTTAATCCTGTATATGTACGTTGTTTTAGATTCAAAGTGATAAAAAGTATAACGTGACGCAACATGTCAGAACGACTTTTCATGTAGAAAGGAAGAAGTTTCTAAAATTAAACAGCAGACCATACATGAATCTGTTGCATCTACTTCCACAAAAGATGAACAGTTTCAGTTTAATTTCGATTTATGTAAAATGATGATCCAGTCCAATATACCTTTAAAAAAATTGGAGAAAGGCCCTCTTCAAGAATTCCTTGAAAAACACTGCAATTGACATATTCCGGTTGAAAGTACTCTCCGAAAAAATTATGTAGGCCCAGTGTTTCAGCAAGTTTACAACGAAATTAAACATCGCATTGGAGATAATTATATTTATAGTTCGCTGTCGATGAAACAACCGATAGTTGTGGAAGATACGTGGCAAGTTTAATTGTTGGAATCTTAAATGAAAATTTCCCTAGTCGAGGGTATGTAGTAAGATTGAAAATGTTAGATAAAACAAATGGCAATACGATTACCAGATTTGTAAATGAGAATCTTACGTCACTATTTTTGCCAAATGCCGTACCGGCGAATAAAATTTTATTGATGATCTCGGATGCAGCTCGTTAAATGTTGAAAGCAGGGAATAATCTAAAAATATTGTACCCCAATTTAATTCACTCTACTTGCATTGCCGAGGGTTTAACAGAGTGGCTGAAGGAATACGTTTGTAGTTTCCTAGTCTTAATAAATTAGTGGCAAATGGTAAAAAGATTTTTGTTAAAGCCCCACTAAGGGTGCAACATTTTAAGGAAAAATTTCCAAACATACCATTGCCCCCAGAGCCGATTATAACGAGGTGGGGAACATGGTTACAGGCCACATTTTATTATGACAAATATAGCAAAGAATTTGAGGAAGTAGTTACGGAGTTTAGCGAAGATTCTTCTCAATCGATTAAAGATTGCATAAATATTTTGGAAAACAAAGATTTGCGACAAGATCTAGCTTTTCTAAGAAGCAATTATCAATTCGTATGTGAGGTAATAGAAAAGTTAGAAAAACCCAACATGTTGTTGGTAGATGCCATAAACTTAGTGAAAGAATTTAAACAACAAGCAAACGCAGTAAGGGGTGATATTGGTACTAGAGTATCTCAAAAACTTGACGAAGTGTTAAATAAAAATGCAGGTTTCGGTGTTCTTTCCGACGTTGCTCGTGTTTTACAAGGCCAGAAGGTGGAAAATTTGGAATTAGATTCAACATTAGTTGCAAAATTCAAATTTGCGCCAACAACGAGTGTGGATGTTGAACGCACGTTCTCCAGTTTTAAACACTTTTTAAATGATCGGCGAAAAAATTTTACAGTGGACAACTTGGAACATATTACAATCATAAATTGTTTTAAAGAAAACTGAAATACGTGTGTAAAATATAAAGTCTAGGATTATTGTAATAATATTTTATCCAAAGTTCTAAGAAGTGTTCTTTGATTTGTAATATAATTATGTTTTTAATGCTCATTTGCTTAAAATAAAACTTTTTTATTGAAAATATTGTGCTTATTTAAGCGGTTATTCTTAATTTTTTTGTGCTTATAAATCCGCTCTCTAAGTATTACAATATAATTAATTTCTATTTACAATGTATTTCTTTCAGCTATCTCACATCTTTCCTTTCCCGTCGTTTAAGTTATTATTTGAAATTAAAAGGACCATCATTCGCAGTTGATTCGGTTTGTAGCAGTTCTGGAAATGCTCTTCATTTAGCATTCAAATCCATGAGAAGTGGTCAATGTGAAAATGCACTCGTCGCCGGTTGTAATTTAAATATCCACCCTAGAGCCACAATGCAATACTTTCGGTACGATTATTACTTACTCACGATAATAATTCCCTTTCTATAAGAATAAATTTGCAGCTTGGGAGCTTTAAGTCCGGACGGAGTATCTAAAGTATTCGATCAGGACGCAAACGGTTACGCTAGAGGTGACGCTTGTGTATGTATTTTGCTTCAAAAGTCTAAAAATGCGAAACGAATTTACGCACAAATTATTAATACCAAAGTGAACAACGACGGTTTTAAAAAGGAAGGCTTGACATATCCCTCGTCGCTAATGCAAGAAGAACTTTTGACTGAAATATATCAACAAAGTAATATTAGTCCTTCAAAAGTCAGATACTTCGAAGCACATTGTACAGGTACTCGAGCTGGGGATCCTGAAGAAGTTCGTGCTATAGACAAGGCTCTGGCGAAAAAAAGTGGAAAACAGCTTCTCATAGGTTCAGTAAAGTCAAATATAGGTCATACAGAACCTGTATCAGGTCTGTGCTCGATTATAAAAGTACTGATTGCTATGGAAACGGGACTTATACCACCTAATATCAACCTCAAAAGGGTTCGAGAAGAACTGGAAGGGATTAAGCAAAACCGCATAAAAATTGTGACAGAAGCTACTGAGCTTTTAGACAATGATGCGATTATAGGCGTTAACAACTTTGGTATCGGAGGTAACAACTCTCATGTGATATTGCAAAGGTTTAAAAAACAGAAAATCGATGGTGGACTGCCAAAAGATGATCTTCCTAGACTAATTTGTGTCAGTGGTCGCACTAATGAAGCGGTTTTGAAAATTTTAAACGACGTTAGTAGTAAAAGCTTGGATCAAGAATACGTCGGTCTTTTCCACCAGTTATATAAAATTAATAACCCTAATCATTTATATCGGGGATATGCAGTTGTTTCCAAACGCGGTATTGTATCAATGTCATCAAAATTATTGCCTTCCCATAAACCACATTTGCACGTTTTTTTTGGACAATTCGTTACGAATTTCCGCAAGCTGGCTTCTTATTTGAAGAAATTTTCTATTTTCGAATGCATCGAAACAAGGTATGCTAAGATTTTATTTGTGTGTTCCTAATTAAGAAATTCTTTTCTTGGTGAAGGATTAATCAAATTTTGGTACTCAACAAAGTAAAAACTCTTCAAGAAATTTTAGAATCTCAAACAAAAGCAAATGAAGACGCATTGGGGTCAATATGTTTGCAATTAATATTGGTAGATATTATAAAAGAGTTGGAATTGTGTCCTAATGGAATTTTCTGTGACACTTCTTGTACAATCGTTAGTGCTTATTATTACAACGACATCGAGCTGGAAGAGGCCGTGTTAGCAGCGATCGAACTTAGTAAAGCAAATTTTAATTCTAATATGAATTTCCAAACATCATGGAAGTTAGTGGATTTAAAAAGTAGACAGTCAGTGAAAGAGGATTACTTAACTTACGAAAATGCTGTTAAACCGTCGAAAGGCACAATAATATTAAATTTATCCGATCTGGCGCTCAGTGATGAAAATAATTTATTAGTACAAGATGGCGGCGTCAATTTACTGGAACTGTTGGGAAGGTAAGAAATGAGCACCAAAGATATTTAAAGATCATAAAAAAAATTTATAGATTATATACGGAAGGTTACCTTCCTCAAGTTCATAAACTGTATCCTCAAATAGAATTCCCTGTGAGTAGAGGCACCCCAATGATTTCACCTTCTATTCAATGGAATCACGAAAAAGCATGGTATACATATAAATTTACCAAATTTACATTATCGGATGCTGAGTATAAAGAATATACAATTTCACCCTCAAAGGACGAACATCAGTTTATAAAAGGCCATTGCACTGATGGTAATATATTTAAACTAGTATGCTAAGGAATATACCATATGATCGAGAAAAAAATCGTGTAGTAACTTTTGTACTTCGCGTATGTTTCAAATGAGTTTTTTATTTTCAAAATGTTTATGATTGTTGTTGAAATTTGTTGTTTTTGTCTCTTCGAAAAAGAGGAGATTATATTGTGTTAATTTTTTTACGAAAATTGTTTGGCCATTCAGAGGAAAAACTCTAAGCGAATTCTTTCACCACAAATATAGAAGTATATTATTACATGACATTTAAATCATTTCAATTTAGAATTTTTTGAGGTGATGTCCATAAATTGTTGTCGGGAGCGATCAACCAAATTTTGGTTAGTATTCACCATCTATGTGGTACATGATATTCGTAAGATACAAAACTTGACAACAATCGCTCCAGTAGTTTCAGACATTATCTGTTAATAAAAATAGACACAGATAGTCAGACGGAAACGGGAGACCACCTTTTTTGCATTCTAGGGGTCATGAAACGTCAAGAAAATATGAAACTGGCAAGTCGTCCGGTGGACTCCATTTACGTTCGGGAAGTAAAAAAAAAGTTCTTTCAATTTATAATTTAACAGAGTATATTTGTAGTTAACGAATGCAAAATGATGTGAAAAATGTCAGATAAATAATTGCAATACTAATATCAATATTTTAAATATAAATTTCGTGGCTTTCTAGAAGACATTTTTTCGATCATATGGTGTTAACATTAAAGACAACGTTTTTAGGACGTAACCTTGTCCCTGCAACGGAATATTTAAATTTAGTGTGGCAATCATACGCAGAAACTCAAGGATTTTTAGCCGTCGATATTCCTGTATTATTTGAAAACTGTAAGTTTATCAGAGCCGTTACACTGCCTAACAATAATTACGTAAAATTGCTTGTAACGATTCAAAGAGGCACAGGCAACTTTGAAATTCTGGAGAAAGGTTCGTTAATAGTTAGTGGCCGTATCCAACTTTGTCCAAATGCAAGCCAACAACAAGTTATCCTACCAAAATTTGATTGTTTGAGTGACGATAAACGAAATATATTGGAACAAGACGATATTTATCGGGAATTTAACCTAAGAGGTTACAATTACAGGTCGGTTTGATTCCAACAAGATACAGCATGTTGTAGTTATTTTCTAGTGGTTTATTCAAATCAATTAAACGATGCAATGCAGACGGCACTATCGGTTTGATTAAATGGGAGGACAACTGGTGTGCTTTTATGGATAATATGCTTCAAATGAAAATTCTTCAATCTGACACAAGGTTGCTTTTCGTTCCTACCGGCATTAATAAAATCATTATAGATCCCTTGAGACACATACAAATCGTGAACGAACAGGATGGAGAAGAATGTCTTCTACCTGTTTATGTGAACAAGAATTGCAACTTGATCAAGTATATAAACTAATTATTAGAATTACAGTTAAACAAAGAGCTTTGTCTTGTTTAGGTCTGGTGGAATTGAAATTCACGGAATTCAAGTAACTTCTATTTTCAAGAAAAAAGTACAATTGGAACCAGTTTTGGAAAAGAACGTATTTATCTCAAATAATTTACCGTTAGGGTTAGAAGAAGCAGTACGAGTCAACACTCAAATTATCTTAGAAAATAGTTTAGATAACAGATTTAAAGCTGTGGAAATCATTAACGAATTCACAGATATAAATGATGAACACATCTTAGGTTTTGTCAATAAAATTTTAGACCACATTCCTGGAATAACTCCTGATCTAACCATTTCGTCAGAAACAACCATAGATAAAACACCTGGAATAAAATTCGAAACTGTTACTTTAACACCTGAAAGCAATATACTTTTGTACGTTGGTAGTAAAATTCTACAACAAGGAAACACTTTAAAACAATTTTTCACGCCACTTAACAAACACGGATTTATCCTAACACGTGAAGATATCAGTTTCAGTTTAAAAAACGATGTTACTGATGCAGACATTTTAACCGATTATTTAACACCAAACGAAAGAATAATTTTATTGCGAAGAAAAGTGGAAAATGTTAGACCCGAATTTATTAAAATATCTTCGAGTAATTTTAGCTGGATTCCAGAGTTACAAAACGCTTTAAATCTCGGGAAAGATATTATAGCTTACGCTACAAATAGAGATCCCGAAGGAATATTAGGTTTGATAAATTGCATCAGGCGTGAACCAAATGGAAATTTAGTTAAGTGTTTCTTTATGATGGACGATGCTCCGGAATTTGATCCCCAGCATTCGTTCTATAGTAAACAAATTAGTAAAAACTTGGCTGTAAACATTTATAAAGATAAATCGTGGGGAACATACCGATATTTGCTTTTGGAGGAGAGACAAAAGATTAACTGTGAACATGCTTATGCAGATTTTAAAAGTAGAGGAGACATATCCAGTTTCGAATGGTTAGAGGGACATTTATCTGAAGAAGCACCACTAAAAGAAGGAGAATTTTTGGTTTCGGTAAGTTATATATTACGTGGTTCAATGAAAACGATAACTGTTTGTAGACATGTTATTCAGCAGTTAACTTTAAAGATATTATGGCTGCTACTGGACGCGTAAATCCCGAAATATTACAACCGCATCGACCTGACCAAGAGACACTAATAGGATTTGAATTTTCCGGAAAAGATCTAAGGTGGTGTTATTTATTTATTGCAAAAAACAAAGTTACACACATTATTTACAGTGGTCGTAGAATAGCTGGGATGACTAGCATTCAAGGTATTTCATCCTATTTTACTTCAGATCCTTCCTCAATTTGGAAAATACCAGAATCATGGACACTTGAAGATGCGGCAACGGTTTCTGTTGTGTATTGCACTGTTATTTATGCTCTTTTCATGGTACGAATATTAACAAAATCCATCTCTTTATTAATATCTTTTTAAGGTTGGCGATATGAAACCGGGTTCCTCAATTCTTATTCACTCCGTCACTGGTGGTATTGGACTAGCTGCCTTGAACGTTTGTCTTCACTATAAATGCGAAATTTATGTAACGGTTGGCACTCAGGAAAAAAGAGCATATTTAAAAGAAAACTATCCGCAAATTCCAGACAACCATATTGGGAATTCACGAGACACTTCGTTTGAACAAATGATTAAAACAGAAACCCGGAATAAAGGTGTTGACATAATTTTGAACTCCCTAAGTGAGGATAAATTGCAGGCTTCGATTAGGTGTTTAGCACAAGGAGGAAAGTTTATGGAAATTGGCAAATACGATTTGGCCAATGACAGTTCTTTAAATCTTTTGTTCATGGAAAAGGAAATTAGCTACCACGGCATATTGTTTGATGTCGTTTTTAGAAACTTTAAGGAAATGACATCTATAGTGGTGAAACGTTTAATAGAGGGAATTGGAGAAGGTTTTGTAAAACCACTTCCCAGGGCACTATTCAGTGCAGATGAAGTTGAAAAATCGTATAAATACATGATGACGGGTAAACACATTGGCAAAATACTGATCAAACTACGGAATGAAGAAGAAGATAGTGTTAGTACATTTCACATGATGTCAAATCCACGGTAAGTTATCACTGAAAATAGGTACGTTAAAATTATTGTTTTTTAAGTTTCCATTGTGACGTGCGTTACACCTATGTCGTTATTGGAGGACTAGGTGGAGTTGGTTTAGAATTAGGCGACTGGTTGGTCCTGAGAGGTGCAAGAAAACTAGTATTAACTTCGAGATCGGGTATTCAAACTGGTTACCAACAGCAAAGAATACAGTAAAATATAATCTCCATACGCAGTAAAGATATTCACTAGCAATTTTAGAATTTGGACAACATACGGCATCGAAGTAAAAATTTCAATGAAAGACGTAACCACCCAACGAGGATGTGAAGATTTAATCAACGAAGCGACCGAGCTTGGTCCTGTCGATGCTATTTTTAACTTAGCTGTTGTTCTTAAAGACGCACTATTTGAAGATCAAACTCAAGAAACTTTCGAAACTTCGTTAGCACCAAAAGCTCGCGCCACACTATATTTGGATCAAATCACTAGGAAATTGTGCCCAAAACTAAGGTTTATTCACAACTTAAAATTACCGGTTGTTTCTAACGATATACTTTAGGTATTTTGTCATATTTTCGTCACTATCTTGTGGTCGCGGAAATCCGGGTCAAAGCAACTATGGTATGGCAAACTCTGTTATGGAACGAATATGTGAGAATCGAAAGCGAGAAGGATTGCCAGCTGTGGCTATTCAATGGGGTGCAATCGGTGAAGTACTTAATAAATTTTTAAAGATTTTTTAAGATTGCAAATATTTTAAAGGTCGGTTTGGCGGCAAAGATGCAGAAGGAGAATAAAGAATTAGTTTTGAGTGGTACTCTCCAACAAAAGATTTCAAGCTGTCTTGAGGTGTTGGATGTCCTGTTAAAACATAACTATCCGGTGGTTTCTAGTATGGTGGTTGCCAAAAAACAACAGAAAAATAACATTGTTAGTGCAGTAGAAGCTGTTTCCTTTGTTTTGGGAATAAATGACATGAGAACGATAAGTCACTATACGACATTTACGGAACTCGGTATGGATTCGATGATGAGTATAGAAATTGTTCAACTTTTAGGGAAAGATTTTGAAATCGACGTAACGTCTAGAGATGTGAGAAGTTTAACATTTGCAAAGTAATTATTATGTCTTAAACAAAATGTTGTAATTAACGCTGAATTTCAGATTAACTGAGATGGAAAAAGAGAAAACGAACAAATCTGTAGAAGTTTTAGACAAAAAAACAGAAGAGGGCGAAAATTTGTTCATTCAGTATATTCCCAATCGCGAAACTATTCGTTTGTCTGCTGTTAAATTAAATAGCCTTATTGACTCACCCCTACAAGCTCCATCCGTGTTCGTTTTACCAGGAGTGGAAAGCATCTTCAAAACACTAGAATATTTGACGAATACATTAAAAGCACACGTCATAAGAGTACAGAACAGTAATGACAACCCCGAGGACTCTATTGAAGAAACTGCACAGAACACACTACCGGTTCTCTAAAATTTACATATTTTAATGATAATTTATTTTATATGCTTATATTTTTAGCATAAGGTCAGAGACACCTCCTTCTACATTATTGGACATTCATTTGCAACTCTAGTCGCTCTAGGAATGATCAGTTTGTTGAGAAAAACGGGCAACATTGGTATCCTGATTTTAATATTAATAATATTAATAATAATACTAATAAGTTGATTTGTCCAACAGAAACAAGTTTCAGTTATAGGGGAAAATATTTAAATAAATAAATAAATATACATAAAAATTCTAATACAGATGACAAATTATAATAAAATAAAGCTAACATTCTATATTATATTAGGCACTCTACAAGAAAATTAATCACAACCCCAATATCTTTCCAATATTTTTTATGTGTGAACCGTGCAACATTAAAGACACGGAATCATTTTGTTCTGAGTGTTACGAATTAGTTATATCACTCATTTGAACTGCTCCAGTTTCAAGAAAACGGAACTGAAGTTTATCGAAAATAACAGTTTGGTGTGGTTTTGTAAGTCCTGTAAATCTGTTAATAAGAACATGGGCAATTTATTGAGGTCGTTAGAATCTGCTGTAATTAATTTACAAAATCAGGTCTTACAACAAAATAATGTTATTAGTGGGCAGAATCATATGATTGCTAACTTGTTGAAAGATATGAACTTAATAAAAACGCAGTTCAATACTAATGATAATGTGTCTGCCACACGTGATTAGGACATAAAACCAACTACTTCAAAAAATGTCAATAAACATACATTTCAAGGAGATCCGACATTGAAAATTAAAGGCAGTGCTACGAATGATGCTCCAGAGACATCCAACAGCTATCCCCGAACTGAAGAGTTGTCTACTATAACACCTGTAACTAATAAAAACAAAAGTGAGGAAGAATTTGTCACCGTAGTTCGCAAAAAATCGAAAAAAAGAAAGGATGAAGCTATAACCGGAACAGCACAAATTGCGGAAACTGCCAACTTCTCGGCATCTTTAAAACAAAAAAGGCTTGGATTTATGTAGGCAACGTCAAGAAGTCTGCCACCTCCGATGATGTCCAAAATTATATTGTAAATCGACATCAAGTTGAAGATATCAATATCTCCATCGAGAAGCTTTCGTGTAAGAGTCAAAATCAATCATTTTGCATTGGAATTAAATTTGAATTGAAGGAACGGCTAATGGACGCGACTTTTTGGCCAAAAGGAGTAGTCGTAAGAAGGTTTAACTTTAATTTTACAAATAGTAGAGGTTTTCAGTTAACGCCTCAACTTGTTCAGGTAACATAAATCAATTTAAGAGGTCATCGTCAGGGAATGATTATTAATATTTCCAACATAAATATTCAGTGCCTTAGTAATAAGATCCATGAGTTACAGGCATATTTGAAATGTTAAGAACCTCTTGAAATAATTTGCTTAAATGAATATTGGCTGAATTCCACTGAAATTCATTCAATAAACTTGGAACAGTATGAGATTGTTACAAATTTTTGTCGTTTACGTCATATTCATGGTGGAGTTTGTATTCTTCTACACAGAAGTATTACTCATTTTAAGATTTTAAACTGTACTAAATTGTGTCACGAAATTCATTGTGAATTTGTTGGAATAAGCACCAACAATCTCGTTATAGTTTCTGTCTATAGATCGCCTAGTGGTGACTTTGATGTTTTCCTTTCAAACCTAGATTCTCTACTAAATAGCATAATGGGGAGAAACAGTGCTTCACACATTGTTGTAACTGGTGATTTCAACATAGACTTTCTTTTACAAGAGAATGATACATGTACTCTTCTACGTTTGTTACGCTCATTTGGTCTTAAACAAACTGTATTTGAGATTACGCGAGTAAATGCATGTCTTGATAACATTTTCACGAATATTGAAAATGATAAGTACGCAACTGTAGTACATGAACCTTTTTTGTCTGATCACAAAGGGATTTGTATGACTTTATATACACCAAATGATTCTATATATGAAAATCAGAGCATCTTCTACAGACCTCATACGTTTATTGGTATGTTTAACTTGTATAATTATTTGGAAAATCTGTCGTGGTCCTTTTTAGAAGATATTTCCCTCGACTTCAATGAGTTGTGGAATAAATTTTTGCTTGTGTTGTCATCTGCCATTAATGTCTACTTACCAATCAAACATAAAAAGATCCGTTCTCCTAAGGATAAAATATTTTGGTTTAATGAGACACTTAGAAAAATGCGTGAACAATTAATATTTTATGGTAACTTACTAAGCATAAACCTGATTACTCGAAAACAGTTCAATAAATTTAGAAATATTTACCGCAATGCTATAATTGAATAAAAAAAGAGAGCCTACGACAATTACATTTCTAAGTCAAACAATAAACAAAAAGCCTCCTGGGATGTGATAAACTCATATAAAAAGAACTCAAAAAAACATGACATTCCTTCTGAATTATCTTCTAATGATTTTAATAATTACTTCTTGAATGTTATAAATGACAATGATTTAAGACTTATTAATAGTGTTAGTTACAATGACTTCAAGCCAAATTTGCTAGGGGATCAGCATTTCACATTTTGTCAGATTTCCCAAATTGATATTAGAAATATAATTAATAACATGAAGCGCTCAAAAAGTGTAGATGCTTATAACATATCTTCCTATATTGTAAAGTCTACAATAAATGTGTTGATATCTCCGCTCACTAAACTTATTAATAAATGCTTAATGCACAACATATTTCCCGATGCTCTTAAAATATCTAAAGTTATTCCACTTCATAAAAAGGGCAACATATTTGACGTTGGTAATTATCGTCCTATTTCTCTTGTTCCAGTTTTAGGCAAAATTCTGGAAGTTTGCATGAAAAACCAATTAGTTGACTATTTAGAAAAAAAAATTCATCCTTCCCAATTCGGTTTTAGGCATAATCTTTCAACAACTCTTGCTGTTAGGACAATCTGTGACATTATTAGCTACATTTGAACCCAAAGAATATGCTTCTGTTACTTGTTTTGACCTTTCTAAAGCTTTTGATCGTGTCGATCACGACATTTTATGCACAAAGTTAAAATGGCTTTCTATTGATCAAAATTCCGTAACTTTCCTTGAATCCTACCTCCGTTCTAGATGTCAGTTTGTTTATGTTAATGGTGACAAATCAGAGACAACGTATATTAAGAAAGGTCTCCCACAAGGATCAGTACTGGGTCCCATACTTTTCCTTATATATATTAATGAATTGCCACAAGCTGCACCAACTGGCAAAATAACTCTTTTTGCAGATGATATTACAATTACTAATACCAGTGATGATATTGCAAAGTTAAGTAGGTAATAATGATAATATTTCTAATGAATATTTTACTAGATGGTCATTAAGTAACAAATTAGTTATCAATAAAGATAAAAGCCAAAATTTGATTTGCTCTCTTAGGACATTAGATTGCAAAAAAAAGAGTATTAAGTTGCTAGGTATTGTGTTAGACACAACTTTGTGTTGGAATTTTCATGTGGACTATATTTTAGACAGAATTGCCAAAAATCTCTTTGTTCTCAGACAAATGCATGGTGTTGTTGCACTTGAAACATTGTTGACTGTGTATCATTCTTGTGTTGGTAGCCTAATTTCTTATGGTACTCTTCTGTGGGGTCATTCTCCTCATACTGCAAGAAACTTTTCATTTCAAAGGAAATTTATATGTGTCATATCTGGTCTGGGATATAGACAAGAATGTCGACATGTATTTAAAGATTTAAGGATCCTTACCGTCCCTTCCGTTTATATACTTCATTGTTTAACGTATATTAATTCTCATATTTCAGAATTTAACACTGCCGATCATATGTAGGTACCTACATGACAAGACCTTGTGATCTCTTTCGCCCTAACTTTACGCGTATAAATAAGTCAAGAGGATCAGATTATTTTGCTGTTAAATTTTATAACCCTCTTCCACCTGTTATCAAAAGCTTGAGGAAAGAGGTTTTCAAAAAAAGAATTAAATTATTTCTGGTGAGAAATAAGGCATTCTTTAGCCTTGATGAATTTTGTGTTGTTTCTCAACTTAAAGAAATTTGATTTTATTGAGATATATTTTCAATTAGTTTAATTATTATTAGTATCTAAGTGTGTGACTTGAGTAAACATTTGTAATGTATTAGCTATTAGCTTTAATAAACTTATTATTATTATTATTATATTAATATTATTAATATTATTAATATTAATACACTTAAAAAAAAATATATTACATACAGTCGTCTTCTTAAAACGTATACAGGATTGTAGTTAACACAATTACTACATTTGAGATTGCCAATCTTACACCCAGCAGCATTACGTTCACCAGCACATTTAGGACAACAAGTTTTAGTTTTGCAACCTTTTGATGAGTGTCCGTACTTGTTACAATTGAAACATCTTGTAATTTCAACCGAGTCATAGATAGTACAGCCATCAAGGCCAATTAGACAATGGCCTACATTAAAAATTTGATCAACTTCAAATAGAGCCTGATAGACTTTATTTTTTTGCATTAAGTGTATACAATTTAATATCCGAAACTTCAACACTTACTAAAATGTTCTAAAATTTAGCACGTCGTGAGGTTTTTTTTAACTAAATTTGAATTCACCAAACAAAATCGTGTCATTTCAACTTCAAAAAAAGCGCTTCATAAACGTGATTGGGGAGATAAAACGACTAGATTTGTAATGGTCGCCTAAAAATGTTTTTATTTTTTTTAAATATGGATCTACATAGTTAACGACGAGCTTTCATATTCATGGACGTATCTGTAAAAATAACCATTCACATTTTGTAGAAGTCCGTTTGGGGTACCAAATTCTACAACACAGCCATCATCTAAAACCAAGATCTTATCGGAATTCATCACACTGTCCAATCTGTGAGCAATTCTTAAAATCGTTGCCTTATGAAATCTCTTCTGAATTGTAGCTTGAATTAATTTGTCGGTGTCTAAGTCCAGAAAGGCAGTTGCTTCGTCAAGAACAATAATTGTGCATTTTTTCAAAATAGCTCTAACTAAACACATTAGTTGTTTCTGTCCCGCACTAAAATTGAGCCCGGTTTCCGAAAGAGAACTGTCCAAACCAGATGGTAAATTTGAAATAATCGCTTTCAGATGGACTTCTTCTAAAACACTCCATAACTCGCAGTCCGTGAATTCTTTGAAAGGATCTAAATTTTCGCGTATGGTACCTGAGAAAAGAACCGGATCTTGAGGAACAGTCGCTATTCGAGATCTCAGAGTGCCAAGAGGAACCGTTTTTATATCGACGTTGTCTATCAAAATTGTTCCTTCGAATTCGTACAAGTGAAAGAGCGCATTTATCAAAGATGATTTTCCGGCACCAGTTCTTCCAACGATTCCTATTTTTTCACCAGCTTGAAAATCCACACTGATGTTTCTAAGGACAAACGGTTTTTCGGGAGAATATCGTATGAAGACCGATTGAAATAGTATTTTGCCTTCTGCAGGCCATGCGCTAGGGGGATTAATTTCACTTTTATTAATATTTTCAACTGTTAGGTCATCATATTCCGCAACTCTTTCAACTGAAGTCATGTGCGAGTCAAGCTCGCCATAAATTTTTATCATGTTCTGAGTCGACGAAATCAATAACAGCGATTGTGTAATGGATAAACCAACGTTTCCTACCATATCACCTAGAAAAATAACATAAGAGTACCGTCAACCAGTAACACGTGTTTACTTGCTTTTTTTGAAGATTATTAAAAAAAATATGACAACGGCTACATATAACATGCACGTGAAATCTGTCCAAAAAGCGTAAGAACCGTGCAGAGCTTGATGCAGATATCTAATAGAGTTATAGCAGTCTTGATGGGTTTCAAATTTTGATAAACAGTATTTTTGGGCTCTTGATGCTTTGATGGTTGATAATCCGTCAACGGTAGCAACCACATGAGTATAAATCGGACTTTTACCTATAAAACTCAAATTAGTAAAGGATGTGACTTATGCTATAGATTTACGTGTGGCAGCGATTTTCTTCAATCTGTTAAGCACTGGTCGGAAAGCTTGCCAATAGCAATAAAAAATTATCAACAAAATTAGTGTTGGAAGAATCATGTAATAATTTACTGCAGTAACAACAAGACAGACACCCAACACAGTATACGCTTGTCTCACGACTTGATACAAATTTTTGGGAATGGTCTCATCGATTGCACTCATATCACTAGAAATTCTGTTAATAATTCGACCAGATGCATGGTTGTCGAAAAACTCCATAGTTCCATACAGGATTTTGTTGAACAACGTATCGTGTAACTTAACAGAGCACTTATAACAACATTCCACAAAGTTTAAAGAACCCATATGATACAAGAATACCATTATTAGAATAAATCCACTGTAAATGTACAAACATTTAACGTCGGAAAAGTACTGCAGTAGTGTTGTATTAAAACTAGAAGGATTTTGCCTTAGGTTGATCCAGAAAGACAAGAACGCGTCTGAACCATTTATGAAAACTTGAGTTAAAACAAAAAGGAGGAACTGAAGATAGACGAAGAACTTGCGTTCGTTTGCAAATAAGTATGTTGTAAATGTGTTGATTTTATCACTACCTCTGTGTTCTTTAGTTTCAACTTGAGCTTCAGATTTTTTTTCCGAAAGCTTTGTCGATGCTTTGTCACCGTTTTCTTGTACGTTATTTGGTGTCTCTTCTAATGTTTCATATTTTCCAGAAAAGTTTACCTTCCCATCTTCTAGAACATATACTCGGTCGGAATAATTGAGAAATTTTAAATTGTGTGTTATTAGTACAACACTTTTGCCTTTTAGATATTTCAAAATACATTGAGTAAATATTTGTTGAGCGACAGATACATCCATCGCCGCTAGAGGATTATCCAAAAGATAGATGTCTGCATCTTTGTATATAGCTCGTGCCAAGTTAATTCTGGCTTTTTGGCCTCCACTTAACATAGCTCCTCTTTCTCCCACCAATGTTTTGTCTCCATGGGAAAAAAGAGATATGTCATACTCCAAAGCGCAAATTTTAAGAACATTCAAATACTTGTTGTTGTTAAACGTTTCATTAAATACAATGTTTTCTTGGATAGTTGCCGAGAACACCCATGGATTTTGTGATGCATAAGATATCAAACCCTCCTGGGAGAGAATACCGTCCATTATAAATAATTCTCGTAATATAGTTTGGAGTAAAGATGACTTTCCACTCCCTGTGTCTCCGGTAACAGCAACTAATTGACTAGAACCAAGTTCAAAATTTATATCTTTTATCGTCGCCTTTTGTAGTGGGTTCCATTTAGCTGTTAAATTACGAGCATAAATTCTACAACCTCGCATATCTTCTATTTTTTGTGTGTCAACAGCCACTTCATCATCCGAAAGCAAAAAACTTTGGATATGGGCTATAGTTACTTTAACTTCTGACATTAAATTAACAGCAGAAATTGAATGTTGCAGCGACGATTTAAGTAAATTGTATATGTTTATTGACATAAAAACCATCTGTGGGTTTAAAGCAGTACCAGTAGTTGTTAAAAGCGAAATAAACATGTAAATCGATATTTTGGGAATGTATGTCGCAATCGTGGTGTTTTCATTCGATATATGATTTAGTTTTTTCATTTGGGTAAGTTCACATCTAAAATGTTACTCGGTATAGTAGCCTGCATAGATATTGTAGCCGTCCATAGAGTCGAAATTTGCGAATAAAAATAAAATAAAACCGGTTCAAACGGAGCCGACGGTGGCTTGCAAAGTCTGATGTCACTCTGGCACACTTTGCACAGAGACGTATTTAATATTAAATGTCATTTTTTCCGTTATGAGCTGAATCTCGTCAATAAAATCGAAGCTCTGTTCACTGTACACAAGTTGTGGTATGGTATATTCATCGTTGCGGAGGCAGGTGGAGCGAAAAACCTAGTCATCTTAGCAGCAAACACGCCTATAAACTAGTCCACGTGGACTGTTTGTTTCCTGTCATATTTTAGTTTGCTTGAACCAATTGTGTTGCACCAAACGGTTATAACACTTGTTGAAATAAATTTTCAAACTTCCATCTTTCTCTAGATCATCGGTTTCGTAGCTGTGTGACAAATCGTTTGTCGTAGATAGAAAATAGTAAGATTACAGTGACCCTAAGATTTTGTGCAAACAGCCTTAAATACACCCCTGTGTGATATAACGCGCGCCGTAGTGACAGAACTTGCAAAGCGTCGTCGGCTCCGTTTGAGCCGGTTTTATTTTATTTTTATTCGCAAATCTCGACTCTATGGACGGCTACAATATCTATGCAGGCTACTATAATAATAGTGTCTTGATTTTAGAAATAAAAACCTTCTAATTTTATGTATGAGATCAGCGAAAGGTGTTTCCCAGGCATACATTTTGATTTCTCGCATTCTAAAAATGATATCGTTCATTATCCGTATCCGATTGTCCCTTTCTTTGGTTACTTTTCGTCGTCGAGCAGCAGCTCCTGTGAAAAAAAAATCTGAAATGTAAGTACAATACTTTTGGAGTGATAATAAGAAAAATATACTAACATTGGGAAAGTGCAAAAATTACCATTATTCCTGCTCCCATGACCCCTTTGTAACCAGACAATGAAAGAAAGAACAATATTGCTACGATGATTTTCAAAATACCGTTCCACATGCGGTGAATATAACAAAAAACCGTCTCAAATTTGTCAACGTCGCTAGAGAACAAGTTTAATATATGTGCTAAAGTATTTTTTTGTATGGTAGCTAATTTAGAGTTTATAGTCTTTCTATAAATTAAAGAACAGCACGATGCACGAATTTTCAAACCAGTGTTGAAAATTTCCAAATAATGGAACTGGAAACTTATCACTCGAAGTAAAAGGGCTAAAACTACGGCCAATCCATAAATATATGCCTCTTTAGTCGTGAGTTTCGTGTTTTCTGAGAAATATTCCAGTAATTTACCCAGATATAGCGATTGGAGGAATCTGCAACAGTCCTATTGTCAGTGCATGCATTTGTTTACAGCTAGTGACGTCTGTACTGAAGTTTTTTGTGACAGATTGTCTATATATATATGAAAGTGTCACATTTAAATATATCTGTATGCTTTTATGCTTACGTTGATAGCGTATCGGTTATAGAAAAAATTAATCCCCAAAGCACATATTTGATACCTAAAAATTGTGCCAGGGCTCTGGTAAAAGAAGGTTTTTTTCTTGAAATTTTTTCCTTATTCCATAGTGCTTCCAGTCTGTCGCCTAACAATTGTGTCTCATGATCTCTTATCGGTGTTACAAAATTGTCGTCAGTTATTCCATTTTTCCAACACTTTAAAAGTGTTTTTAGCTGCCAACTAAAATTTGAAAATATAGTGTAGCTGCTAAACCGGTGAAAATTTATACCAGAATAAAAAGTGAGATAAGAAATTTGCCTCCTCCTTCGGATGAACATTTTTCGGTATATTATTAAGTATAATCTTTTTTGATGTATGTAAGCCCATTTAAAAATATTCTACCTCTTGTTGTTTCGGTTTGCAAAACTGTTAGTAATAAAACGCTTTAATGTTTTTGTTTAGAAATAAATTTGAACGAAACAGCGGAGGTCAGCAATAAAAAAAGTATGGCGGCTGTATACATACATATGTTTATAAAGAATGTTGTCATTTTAGTTTGCAAATGGAAGGTAATTGTTACACGTTTTTTCAAGTTGTATGTATGGCATTGAAGTTAACAACTTTTAGCTCTATTTTTTCACTGTTATCAATTTATTACTGATAACATATCAGCGTGTCACTTTCTGTCTGTTTTATATGCAGTTGTGCACAACATTTTTGAGAATGCCGTTCCTAAGCATGAAATTAATAGTTGCACACGACTCCTAGAGTCTGCCGTTTCCGTCTGTCCGTCTGTCTGCCGTCCTGAATTTTATTAGACAGTGTAACGGATCTTAGTTTTGAAAAAGAAGAGTGTGCTGATTAGAAAAAGGGTTGACAGATAGAAAATAGTATCTGAATGTTTAATTTTGTTGATATTTTGTATACATTTAAATAAACGAATCATATTATAACAGATAATTTACAAAAGTAATGTGCCAACAAACTCTTGATGTTAAATGATGCCATACTTTATCAACGATTCAAACAAAGAATTTACATGATGTTAAATGATGCCACACTTTATCAACGAATCTAACAAACCATTTACATGATGTTAAATTACGGCTTAATCCAAGTGATAAACGAAGCATGAGTCCTCACTAGGGTAGGGTTGCTTAAGTCGTACCCCCTAAGGAAATATTACTGTAACAATAAGTGTAATTGAAAAAAAACAAAATATACTCCCACTACTAATTCTTTATTTAGTTAACTTTTAACTAACAATCATAAAAACTTAATTTTATTTTATCAAAACCGATATATTACTGTTTTTCAGAAATGTACCATCGGTACGATTAAGGCGGCTAGTCGCTTAACTCGTACCTCCTATAGCCTTAGTCGTACTTAGAAAATATTTGGAAGGTTTGTGAACGGTGGATAATGCAGTTTCGTCCATATTATATATTTGGTGATCAACAAACTTGTATTTGTCCAGTATTTCTTCGTACTTATCAAAAAACTGATTAACACGCTCTTTATTAAAGCCTTTGCTTCTGGCCATCGAGGTTGGTTCTGGAGCACGCAAGGACAAAGTAGGATGCTCCTTCATAAACCTATAATACCACTTTTTGCCCGCTATTCTCTTTTCCTTATTAAAACGATGAGGTAGTTGAGCTTTTTCAGTAAGTTCGAAGGCAAGTTTTCTGAATTCAGTGGTAGTTAGACCGAAGAAACAAGACTCTAAATTCATCAAATACTGTGCTAATATCTCTTCCATCTCTGGTGACATATTATTAGGTCTTCCAAATTTTTTTCTGTTATTCAAACCTTTTAAGTGTCGTCGCAATGTAGGCTTTGGTATATTAAATCTTCTACATGCTTCATTAAATCCAATCTCTCCATTTCGATGTTTCTCCAAGGCTTCGTCCATGTACTCCTGCTTCCACGTATTGTATACTTTCTCTTTGCCATTCTGGTAAAAAAATAAAATAAATTATTAAACAATTTTCTTAATACCTAAGTCGTATCGGTACGACTAAAGAATTGGACATAGGTACGACTTAAGCAACAGGGTCGTATAACTTTGAAACTTAAATCACACCATAACCAAAAAATGTACGATCGTTTGAGAATGCCTAAACGATTGCCAAATAAATGTTTTATAAAATGTTAATTGAAGAAAAAAGGCATGAATCATATTCCTGCCATAACAAGCTTACAACTGAGTTAAAAAAATATATGAAAAGTGTACAAAAAACGTACTTTTTAGTTATTTCTGCATCTGACAGCCACCTGGCGGTCCGCTTTCTTGCGTTTGCTCGGTCGACTAAATAGTTCCGATTGAGAACACTACATGGAACTGTTTACAAATATCAGACGAGTTATAGCCTGGGTACGACTTAGGCTGTGGTACGACTTGAGCAACCTTACCCTAAGTGAATTTCATGATATTTGCTAGCAAGTGCTCTATCTGAACAATCTAATGTTTAATTGTGTTAGAACCAGTAACGATTAAAATCCTAACATGAACTGTGAATTTACAAACAATAAATCAAATCTAGACCACGTGTTAGCGTCGGTCGAAAATGCGCATATTTCCGATTATGAAAAACAACGAAATATTATCTAAGAACAGCAGTGAACAAGCGCCTTTATTTTAATATTAATTTATAGACATAAGAAATTTACATAGCACCCTTACAATTATAAATTAAGCACCAAACGGTAACAATTCATGCAATCGATGTGGAGTTAATCTTCATCGTCTCTGTCAATCCCACTTTGAATTAATAGATTAATAATCTTCAATTTATCTTTAGACGTATTTGATACGTAACATAATGCATTTTTATTATCATTATCCCTAATGTTCACGTCAGCTCCATTCTCTAATAATATTGCAACACACCCCAAAATACCACGCTGACAAGCCAGATGAAGTGCAGTAGTTCCTTGCTTGTTTTGCGCATTTATGTCAATATTAAAATCCAGCAGCAAAACTTCTACGAACGACTCCTCGGTCGCTGTTTTCATTGCATAATGCAACGCGTTCTCCTTGTTGTTGTCAAACACATCGACGTCAACCCCGTTTTTAAGCAATTCTTCAACAAATTCCTCATTTACATATTTACACGCGAGATGCAATGGTGTCGCTCCTTCATTATTTTGAGCATTAATATTGATGCCTCTTTCGAGCAAAAGTCGCATTATCTTTATGGTATCAAAGGGGTTGAAAATATTGGAAGCCGCATAATGCAGTGCATTCTCATTATTAATATCTGGTGTCGCTCCTTCATTATTTTGAGCATTAATATTGATGCCTCTTTCGAGCAAAAGTCGCATTATCTTTATGGTATCAAAGGGGTTGAAAATATTGGAAGCCGCATAATGCAGTGCATTCTCATTATTAATATCTACACTATCCAGTTGCGCCCCCTCTTTAAGCAACGTTTCGGCCACGAGAAAATTACCGCAGTGACAAGCTTTGTGTAAAGGCGTTTTTTTGTTCTTGTCTCTACTGTTAATGCTCAAACCATTACGTATTAAAAATAGTACTACAGGTACATCTTCGGTGCATCGAGATGCCGCATAGTGCAAAACATTTCGTCCCTTGTTGTCCAAGAGTGTAAGTTCTCCTCTATTTTTAAGTATTAATTCCAAGTCAGTTATGTCACCCTTGGCACCTGCTCGGTGTATTGGTGTGGTTCCATTTTCATCCTTTCCGTTTACATCTACACCACTTTGTGCCAGCAAGTCTATTATATCTTTGTGTGATCCTTCGTTTAATAGCGCATAGTGCAAGGCGTTTTGGTATTTGCTGTCTAAAATATCGATTCGTGCTTCATTGTCTAGTAGTACTTTGGCTGTTGCGTAATTGTTGTATTCACACGCATGGTGTAAGCGTGTCACTCCTTCTATATTCTGAGCGTTTACGTCTGCACCTTCACTCACTAGCAAAGCTATCAATTCTTTGTTTTGGTTTTTATCCGACAAAGCATGGTGTAAGGCATTTCGGTAACTGATGTCGGTGATATTTACACCCGCTCCATATTTGAGCAACAACTTTGCACTTAAAAATTTTCCGTTTTTACATGCAACATGCAGGGGTGTCATACCAATCCAGTCTTCATCGTCGATGTAATCTATATGTTCTAGCAACAAAGTGAGCAATTCTATATTCTCCGTTTCTGAATTTAGGGCATAATGTAAGGCGTTGCTATCTTCGTTATCGACAGTATTCACTTTAGCACCTCTTTTGAGTAGTTGTTTCACCATTTTAACGTCTCCATTATCTCTACACACACGTTGTAGTACCGTCGATCCGTGTATATCTTGATCTTCTACATTCACGTTCTCAATTTCTTCCAGAATTACGCTATCGTTACTTAGCTCGTGCAAACTGTGTTCAAAACTGGTCGAACACTTTGCAGTTAATAATTCTGTAACTACAGTGAAACCCAACTGAATTGCAAGCTTTAACGGCGTTATTCCATGCTTGTTTGGTGCATCAACATCAACACTTTTAGCTATCAATAGTTTGCAAGTGTCTACGCAATTTTGTTTTGAGCGTAAAGCGTAATGTAAAGCGGTTTCGTCCATAGCGTCTTTAGCATCCACGTTTGCGTTATTCTCAACTAATACTTCTGCAATTTTGCCAATGCCACTACGACATGCCAGATGTAGTGCCGTAATACCGGTTCTATTTTGGGCGTTAACGTCTACCCCGTTCTCTATTAGCAACTTGACTAATAAAGTACCGTCCGCGTCATCACATAAGAATGGACTGTCAAAAACATGATGTAAAGCAGTGTTTCCTTTATCGTCAACCATATTCACCTGTGCCCCATTTTCAAGGAACTTTTTTGCGTAGTCAAATTCGCCAAATTGACAAGCTTCGTGCAGCACAGTTTCCCCTTTCAAGGTTTGGGAATTTATGTCGATACTTTTAGTCAAAAGCAGATTTATTAGTTCTCCGTTGTCTGTCGAAGTGCAGTGCGTAGTGTAAAGCAGTACGTTTGCAATGGCCTTTGATGTTGACATCGGTGCCGTGTTTGAGTAGACTTTCTACTGTTTTGATGTTACCATAAAAACATGCATAATGTAAGGGTGTACTTTTCGTGTCGCCCTGTACATCGACGTTGATCCCACATGTTACTAACATATCGATTATTTCTCCACAGTCTGCTGGCGATTTTGATATATAATGTAACACATTTTCGTTTTTACTGTTTACAACATGTATGTTTATTCCTTTTTCAATTAAACATCTGGAAACTTCAACGTTACCGTGTTCGCATGCTAATGTAAAGCTGTCCTTTCGCGTCTATCTAAACAATTTATATCAACTTCACGCTCTAATAGTAGTTTTGTTATAGCTTCGCCATTATCGAGTGTTTGGCCTACATAGTGTAACACGTTTTCACCATTATCGTCTAAAGCATGCACATCTGCGTTCTTCGTAACTAGCAGCTTTACGGTATCAAAATTTCCATGCTGGCAGGCAAGATGTAGTGCCGTTATTCCATTATGGTTTTTAGCATTTACATCAATATCTATGTTTTCTAAGAAATTATTTATTATGTCTGTACAAACAGCTACTTTTATAAACTGGTGCAATATAGTGTTCCCAGAGGAACATATCGCGCCGTTTTCGAGCAACATTTCCACCATGTCATACTTTTTGAAACGACAAACCTGATCAAAGACCGTGAAACCGTTATAGTTGAATTCATGTATCTTTTGACACACGTGACCGAAGTATCATACAAGCTCAGACAGCACCTACCATAAGAATCTTTGTTTTAAGGATTACAAAAACGAAGAGCCAGAAAATAGTATGTCTACTGAAATTAGGCCAAATTACGCTCTACGTCAGATATTCTCTTCCACAAAGTTCCTTGAATTAGAAAAAGATAAAATACGTAATAAATGCGTCCACATAGTGCGATAGGCACTGATGTAGTCAATCTAGTGACTGTTAATAATTCATCGATTTTTCATCAAACGTCACTGTCATTTTTGGTTTTACTCAGAGTGGTTAATCGCAGTTTTTCGTTGTTCTATTCAAGTTTTCTATTCAGTTCTTCGTAAAGTTCGTTGGTTGTTAAGATTCTTGTTTCGTTGTCCTATTTTTTATGTTTTGTTATCTTATTTATTGTTCGTGTTTGGTCTACAACATGGAGGGCAAACGTTTGAGTTCCCGTGCCCAGGACATCGTGTCCAACTTTATTGTTTGCTCTTGAGAAGAAAAACGGTGGTCCTTTAATCTCATTAAATGGTACAGAACAAGTAAGTAAGTAAAAACCACTTGAAGGTTCATGGTTAATAATTTCGCTCAAATTTTTAGCGAGTTGCAGATGCTCTAGGCGTTACTCGCCGAACGGTTTCGAAGATTAAAACTAGAAAAGAAAGACTCCTTCCCAGTCCGATAAAATCACAACCCAATCGGAAAGCACCGAAACCAAAAGACCTGCCTGAGCCTACACATTTGTGTCATGTTGACGTTATGAACATTGTCATCTTTTTGACTAATTACTCCAAAGTAACAGTTATTAGTTCGGACGTTAGCTTTTGGTCACGTGTGTAAAAAGATACATGAATCCAACTATATCCTTATTAAGTTCTGCACCATGTTCGAGTAGTAACTTCACGACTGAAATATTTCCATCTCTTGGTGCCGTACATTCATCATTTTCCAGACCCAAAGCTGCGATTTCTAAAAGCTGGCTATCGTTGATTACTTTGTGTACAAGTTCTGGATTTTCTTTAATCAGGGCTGATAGTAGGTTAGGACATCCTAATTTTGTGGCGTAGTATGACAAAGTGTCTTCATTGTAGCGCTTAAGAATCTTCTCTTTGAAATCGTGATAACTAACAATGTGTTTTTCTAAGAACAATTCTAGTGAATATAGACATTTCGATGCAGTTGAATAATCCAAGCAATCGAATTTAAACAGAACGTCAATTTCAAAAACACTCAAGTCTTCGATAAGACGGTTAGTCATTTGTAAATACCAACCTTCTTCTCTGTTTATTTCTGCGACTAGTAGTTCAGGATGTTTCATTCCATATGTACATACTAGATGTAGTGCAGTTCGACCACCTGCATCTTTGATATTGATATTAGTGATATTGTTTTCAAAGTGGTCGATACTTTTATAGATGATGGCAAGATGTAAAGGATTCTTTTCAGCCAACATTATGTCCAGCATCAGTCGTAAGTTCTCATATCTGTTGGAAAAAATTTCGTCGCGTAGAAGTAAGATTTTATCTCGGTTACTCTTTAACCACGAACAGGCGAAATATTCAGCAAAAGTTTGATGATAAAAAACAGCCTCTCCGCTTTGAGTAAAGTCTTTTATAATTCCATATTTGTCTCCGTTTTTTTTTATTTCAGAAACGTATTCATCCGTCTCCATATCGCTTAATCCTCTTAATTTCTCAAAGTCCAAAGTGTTCAAACAAGTTTTAAGAGCGAGAATTTCGTACAACTTAACAAGAAACCCCATTAGTATGATCTGATGATCTTGGTGTTCCCCAACTACCTTCTCCCTAGACGATTTGAGCTTTCCGTCGAAAAATATTTTATACATTTGAGTTAAAACAAACATACTTTGTTGCAGTGATTCGTAGACTTCTTTACTCTTGAGAAATATTTCCGTAAGTATGTACAATTGTAGTGGAATTCCAAGCAATTCTCGGCTGTTGTTGAGATTCACATTATTAAAAACCGCACTTTTAATTTTTTCAATGGCTTCAGTTTCGTACGCATGTTTAAGTCTCTCATCTATGTATTTTTCTTGTTGGACTCTTTCCAGTTCCTGAATTTCGACAGCCACAGCTCGTAGATTTTGGAAAATTTGTTCGCGTAAATTTTCTCTCGAAGAGATCCACAGCGGTACGTTTTTTGAACATAGTGATTTGATAAAATTAAAAATTGCTGGCACACTTTCGCTCTTCACTTCATCTAACCCGTCGAGAAATACGTGAACTTTGTTTTTTTGCCACAAAATAGTTTTAATTTGGTCCACTAGTAACAAATCGGATACTGGTGCCTTTGTTTCCAGCAGATTGGTCTCAATTGAACGAAATGTCGAGTTTGTCGATAGAAGAGAATTATAGTTGATTAAGTCAGCATAGATTGCCCAGCAATCATTTGGGCATTTGTTGTACAAACCTTGCATCAAACGTGATTTGCCCATTCCTGGCGGAGCACACAAAACATTCGGAGAATTTGAAAAATAATCAAAAATCTTCGATTCTTCAATACAGATTTCTTGATGTTCGGCTGGTAGATCGTTGTTTTTCTTGAACAATAACATGAAACGGTCGTCATCAAGCGCTTGAAGTAGGTAAATATTTCGAGTGTTGGATATGTTGCATATTCTGTCAAATTCAACAGATGAACATCCATCACCTGTTGATTGTATAACGAATCTTTCATGAGCTTGTATGTTTTTGTCACCAAAATAACTAGATAATTGCACTGTTTTTATACTTTTCATTCTAGATAATGTATCTTCCAATTTTTCATCACAGTTGATTATTATGAGATTGTCTGGAGTATTATACAACTTAATAAGTTGTTTCTTGTTAAGTAAAACAGCACATACTGACCGTGCTAGATGCAAATCCGGCAGTTGTTTACTTTCCTCGCCAATGTGAATATATTGTTGTCGAGCCATTATGAACAAATGCTTTATTTTAATAAATTCCGCAATCTTTGGATCAATTTCAATCAGTTGTTTCAAGGATATGCTTTCTCTCCCTTGTAATGAAATTCTAAAATTGTCCATAATGTGTTCATCGCAGCACCTCTTCATCGCATCAGCTAAGTTGGCAAAAACTTTCCACTTATCACAGTCGATTCCTTTCGTATCCCCCACTAAAACAAGTTTTGTGGCACTAACTTTTTTTCGTAGCAGTGCAACGACGTCGTTAACTAGCATCACATTAGAGTCGTCCACCCTCAGAATAAGGGGAACTTTACCCAAATGCCACAAAATAATTGATTTTTCTAGATCGGTGGGCTTGTAGTCGTTCACTTCCAAATTTATAAAGTGCGTTGACTTCCAGTCAAACTCTTGGTGAATTTCGCCCCACATATTTTTAACTATCTCTTTTTCACTATTTTCCACCATCGTTATTTCAAACTGTATCATCATGTTTTTGAGCTGCTGTATTTTTTCGTTCATGGGGTTACTAGAAATAGTTTCGATGAAAAGATATGACGCTAGCGCCGCTAATTTGCCTAATATGTCGTCTTTAGTTAGACAGAAATTCTGGGACCACCAATATTCCATATATTTCGTGAATGAGTCAAAGATATCACAGTGCACCAGATCTTCTAGTAAAGCCTTGATGCGTTTTCTGACTGTTTCTATGGATACTTGGTTTGTAAACAAATAAAACTTTTCACAAGCATTTTTCAGTTGTTCTGTTTCGTCTCCACAGTTGCCGCCTATTTTAAATTGCCAAACACTTCTTGTGTTTTCATTATTTAAGAGCAAATCGTCAAACTCAAAGCTTCTAGACTCCTCTGCTCTGAAAGAATACTTTTTAGAAGACAATTTGGAACCGTGTTCTATATTTGTAGGACTGTTTGTGTAAAGAATGAACGTCGTGTTTTCCTTTGAATCGATTTCAAATATGGACTTTAAGTAACTTGGTAAATGAAATTTATTTTTTTCTTGTTTCTTTCCTTTTTGTTGATATTGGTCCATCAGCGTGCCGTGCGTAATTCGCTCTTTGTTGTATTTGTGTTTCAATTGAAAAAGAAAAGTGTGTTGTTTACCACTGTTAAATGTAACTTCTATTCTAATATCATCAAAATTGCCCGAAATTTCGTCGTTGGTAAATATTCTAAAATCGGTCACATCGTCGCTTGTGCTGAACTTCAAAGCGAAAAGAGAACACGTTAGATATTCGTAACCTCTGCCGAAATCTACGGTTCCTTTTCTCTTTGGGTAAGTACTGTCAGTTTGTCGTATCATTTTTGGTGACTGACCCTGAAAATAGATTTTTTTAGTAAAAAATGTAAAATAGTAGATTAACTTACAGCATTATTTTGACTCGTATGTAAACGTTGTCCGTGATGCTTTTGTTGGTAGTTATTCTATGGTATCTTGAATCGATCGCTTAAGTAAGCAGTTCGACAACTGTAAACATAGCTTGTGTAAAGATCGTTGTTACAAAATTATAGGTTATTGTCGATAATAGGATTTTATCATTCTTGTCACCAATTGGAATTACCGCATACTTACATTTAAGACGTGTGAGTTTTTAGATAGTGTAGAGGTTGATGACGTGGATTGATCCTCTTCATTACTTGTATGATTAGCTGTGTCCTTAACATCTAACTCTGTTTTTCCATTTTCTAAGATTTTTAATAAAATACATTTCGTTGTTCGTATACTGAAAAGGAAGACACTCTTTGAAGAGAAATATTACAAAACAAAAGACGCCCTTTTACCATAGACGAACGGGGGATGCATGAAAAAGCGAGCGGAAAATCAAAACAGACCATGCATTTTGTAGAACGGAAAACAAAGTGGGAGAAACCTAGAAGAGGAATTGTGTCTCTTATTTTATATTTTCAATAATTCTAGGGTTTATTTATGTTTATTTCAAAATGTTAATATATATAATCTTTGCCATTTGTATTGAAACACCACTTGTTAATAGTAAATTTGGCAACGTTCATATTCAGACAACTCTAACTAAAAGCCGTTGTCAATCAAGCGAAAGCTCTTACCAATTGCTAAATTTTAAGCAAAATCAACAATTGGTATTTCAATAGAAATGGCAAAGACAACAGGTCTTCCTCGAAAATAATAACAATCGGTCGAGAAATGTACCTGTATACCAGTGGCGGCTCGTGACTTTTTCTGTTGGGGTACCAAAATTAATACACTAAATTTAAAATTTATCCTAGGTAAAAATTATTGTTTCTTTTTATTAAAAATTTAGAAAAATGTCAAGTTAGAGATCCGTTAGCCAGAAATTATCGATTGAAAATTGATAATTGAGAATCGATAATTTCTGTTTACCATCTGGAACCACGAGGAGGTGGACCTAATTCCAGACGGTGATGGGGCGAACTCAAAGTTCCTTTTAAATTTGTTGGCATAAGAAATATAAATAAAATTTTGTTAATCGTGTGCCCAGTAGATGCAATAATTATCTCCCACTTTAAATTCTTATCAATTTTTTTAATTAATATTTCTATATATAAAATCCATGACTATCTTTGTTACGAACAAAATGTTCTATAACTAGTTCATTGAAATTGGTTGTTTCTTGCACTAGTTTTTTTTTTCTATTGAACACACTGCCAAGGCACACAATCTTTCTTGACACATTGTATTTCGTAAAAATGTCTTTATACGTTTTAACGTCGAAAAACATCGTTCGCATTGACTTGTCACCATTGGTAATGTGCAAATAATTTTCAATAATTTTTGTTTCTGAAAATACGTTTAATAAATTGTTTTCATACATAAACTTCAAGAATGCTAAGGCACCATTTGCTGTTGAAAAGTCGGGATGATTATAAATAACATTAAACTCATTTTTTAACACATTAAAATTTAAATAATATTTTGTAGCACATAATTCAACTTCTTTTGATGGAAAATTTAGTTGAAAATATGAAAATAAGCTAGTCTGAAACAAATTTGCTGCTGTAATATAATCTGCTTCTAAAAATCGATTATCAACACTAAATTTAATATTATCACAAATTTCTTTAGCAATTGCAATTTTATTGTCATTAAAACGAGACCGCTTTTTTGAAGATTCACCCTCTTCATTTTCTTCTCGGTTATAATCATAGTCGGTAGAATCTATTACATGTTGTATGGCAAGTTTAAAAGAAGTAATGTTTTTTTAAAGTTTAATTAAGTCCATTTCGCGAATTTGAAGTTGGTTGAAAAGTATCTCGGTACTAGGCATGATTCTGTGAAAGAAGTATAACCAAAAATTAAAATCGTAATCGTCTAATGTTTTCCGTAAACTACTTGCCTTGGCAATTGTTAATTTATCACTATTTTTATCTTCCATTATAATTTGAAAGTAGTTAATCAAATCATTTTTTAAAACTATGTACAGTATTAACTATTCGTGACTTGAAGTTCCATCTAGTCGGACAATTTCTTGGTAATCTTTTAGAAACGACATCATCAAGTATTTTTATACGTTTAGGAGATCTTGAAAAAAACGAGGAAAATGATTCTAAATTTGAAAAAAAAATTCTTACTTGGCTGTGTGCTGATGCCGCCTTTTCTATAATTAAATTCAACTGGTGAGCATAGCAGTGACTAAAGTGAGCTTGATGGTAATGTTTCTTGATGTTTGCTTGTACCCCATTTTGTCTTCCACTCATAACCGAAGCACCATCATAAGACTGAGATATAAGTTTTTTTGGATTTTGATTGATTTCAAGTTTTTCGAGCTCATTTAAAATAATACTAGAAATACAATCAGCTGTGTGATCTGTTGGATTAATGAATCCTAAAAATCTTTCAAATATTTTACCTTTCAATTCATATCTAACGACAAAAACCAGCTGCGACTGTGAAGCTACATCTGTAGTTTCATCAGCTAAAATAGATATATAGTCCGCTTCCAAAATTTCATCTTTGATTAAATTAATACAAACAGCATAAATTGAATCAAGTAGTTCGTTCTGTATGGTTTTTGAAAGACCCATAAAAACGCGATTGTTCGTTTTTTCTATATGAGATTTTAATGTAGTGTCAAGCTCTGCCATTAAATTAATTAAACTTCTGAAAATTCCCGGATTTGTAGAATCATGCGTTTCATCATGCCCCCTTAAAGCCAACTCAAAGGTTCCACAAAATTTTATACCGTCAATCAGTTTACTTAAAATGTATCTATTTTGTTTTTCGACGTTCTCTCTATAAGCACTATTTAACTGATTTCTTATGTCTACTTCACCTAACACTGCGAACGATACGTTGAGATTTAAGTGTTTTTTACTCGAGCGATGCTTTTTCACTTTTTCCCCCAAATGTTTTAAATCCGTGATTCCGGTTTCAGTCCAAGCTTTATCAACAGCTCCGTTATTCATAAGGGTACATACAAAACAGAAAAGGGAGTTTTTCGCGTTGCAACCACATAACCACCACTCACTTTGATACATAGTCTTATTAAATTTTCGATGCACGAGTTTGTCTTTAACTTTAGACGACACAGCAATGTCCAAATCGGGTCTTGGCGGTCCAACGTTTTTTATTAATAGTTTTTCATCATGGCTTAATTTATTTTCAGATTGTAGCCGCAAAATTCTTTCAATTGAATTCATATTGATATTATTGACAACTCTACAATACAGTTTTTTAAGTTTCTTAAAATCACTGCAAACACAGAAAACTAAAACTGACCAAGTTAGCAAATTTCACTCGACCGTTTTGTTTCAAAATCGATGACTAAATCGATAAAAGTGTATGCAATCGTATATGCATTTAAGTACTTAAGTTGCAGTATATAATTAAGAAGAAGCGATTACTATGGCCTGCCGAAATGTTGCAATATCGTGAATTTGTGCACATAATCGCGAAGATTGCCAAGTACGGGTCAATGAAAATATTCACAATTTGGCAACATGCAGGACGGACAAAGGTGTATGATACTCTGCCGAGATGATGTCAGATTGTGTTCTGAACATAGGCAACTTGTAGGTTTCGTAAATAAATGCATTTTGATATTTTTAATAGCGCGAACTTCTCACATTTAAAAATGTGCTTTCATTTTGGTGGGGCATTGCCCGTTTGCTCTTCCTGCACCAGCCACCACTGGTTACAATAAAATAAGTGTATTGATGATTGTCTATTATTTCAAAACCCAACATGAAAACTGAAGTGACCACATGTGTTCAAAAGACAAGAAGGTTATGAGCTATTTATGGATTTTTAAAATCATTTTAAAGGTACAAAGTTTAATCAGTATTTCACATTAGAGTAATTAATTCCCGTTGATAACCATTTTGTTGCTTACTTACTTTATTCACACATCAACATCACACACAATCAAGACTTCGCAAAAATATTTAACGTTGTGCAATTTTTAAGCAAAGCGAGGGACTGGAGGAATATGCGCTCCCCTCCATTCCCAACTTCTGTCAGCAATACCCCACATATCGGTGTTCTAAAAATGACACAAAAGCTAGTGGTACGTTGTTAAGAAGGACGGTGTTTTGTTGGGTGCCTATCTATTTATATAAAAAAATTGAAACTGATATCATTTCAAACTACATATTTATTGTTGGTATCTACTGTTGCGTAATAATTAATTAGACTTACTATTATAGGTGTAGATTGTAAATCTAGTTAGATAGGATTGGAGTTGTCTTGGAAACGAGGGAGAAGGAGGGGCAGACAGAATTTTGGAAAACCTGTGAATTTAAATATAAAACGATCTGCGGATCGTCCATGTTTCGGTTTTAGATTTTTATTATTTTATTGTCTTTTAAACAAGTTGCTAAGCATTCCATTTTTATTCTTCAACAAGCTAGACGGACTGCCAGACTCAATAATCACACCTTTATCTACAACTAATACTAAGTCAAAATCCAAAATGTACCTCAATTTGTGTATAATTGCGATGACTGTATATTCCGCAAAATTTTCCGATATTATTTTTTGTATCAGAGCTTCAGTTTCCGAATCGACACTGGCATTAATTTCGTCAAAAATCACGATTTTGTCACGCCGGACGAGAGCTCTACACAAACAGATGAGTTGCTTTTGACAAACGCTTAAATTCGCGTCAATTTTCTCATCCAAATTTTGAAAGAGTGACAACTTCACGGTTTTAATAGTTTTCCAAATATCATCGTCTGCATGTTGTTTCGTAGGGTCAATATTTTCGCGTAACGTTCCCGAAAATATAGTAGGTTCTTGAGGAACTACAGATATCTTTGACCTGAGAAAATCGACAGGCAGTGTTTTGATGTCTACGTTGTCAATAAAAATGTTTCCTTCGTAATCGTAAAGTCGAGCGAGAGTAGAAATCAGAGTTGTTTTTCCGGAACCACTTCTACCAACAATGGCGACTTTTTCTTTATTTTTGATGGTGAAATTTAAGTGTTTTAAAACTTGATGTTGATCGTTTTTGTAAGAGAAGTTCACGTTTTTGAATTGTATTTCACATTGCTTGGGCCAGTGTTCTATTACTAAACCATCTTTGTTTTCTTGTTTTTGTTTAGTGTATTCCAAAACTCGTTCTACTGTTGTCATTTGATTTTCAAGTCTAGTCACCATACGATATAGCAAATGCTGTGTATTGGTCAGTCTATATATTTGGGACAAAACAAGTCCAACCTTTCCAGTTGCCGTTTCTAAAAAATATTGTTAAATTACATCACTTAGTTTTCAAGATTTCGATTTACTGTCATCTAGTGCTAAAAAGAGGATAATTGCGAAAGTAAGGAGAATAATTTCGTCTGTTGCTATCACAAAGTGAAATGCTTTCTCACAACATTTGTACATGTAAGAACAGGAGGCATACAAATCTTGATGTCGATCAAATTCTTCGCGTAATGTGTTTTGAATTTTTGACATTCTTATGGTTGGCAATCCGTCTAAAGTTGCTTTGATGTACCCAATTAAAGGACTTCGTGCTAAAACAATTAGTGTTATCATTTTAAACATTTTTCTACTCATCCTTACTTAGGAATTCTAGTCGTTTTAAAGCATTTCCGGTCTTTAAGTAGTACATTTGTATGAAAATGACTAATACATTTAACACAATACATGGAATTAGGAACGATGCATTAACTGTAGCAATGAGGATAACGACTCCAACTGTTCCGGCGAAGTACTAAAATCCAGGAATATTATAGGCCACTTTATAAAATTAACCTACGTACACCCATTAGATGTAAAAACGTTAAGGGTACTATTTCATCAATGTACAGTATGTCTTCTGAAAATCTATTCAAAATAATTCCTATTCGGTTTTTGTCAAAGAATTGCATGAAACTGCGAACCACATTAGAGAAAAGTAAATTGTGAAGCTTTAGCGAAGCTTTGGCAGCAAGCACCCAGAAAAAACATGTATTTAATAACATTAATATGGTCGTAATTGAAATAATTATAGGTAGAACGATTAACATTTGGTGACGTTTTTGATTTGCCTCAACTAAATTTTCCTGGTCTGTTCTATTGGTAAACAATACTTGTTCTGCATTTATCCTACAAGTCCAAAAGAGTTAAAGGAGATTATCAAATTTTAATCTTACCAAACGGATTCCATTTTGTTAATGGAACTATTCAAAAACTGAACAATTCCGGTGAGAAGTAAAACTAAAACAATTTTGACCAAACCTCCATTTGCTTGAAAATATTTTTTATAAGTGTCGAATTGTACTTTTCCTTGTACTTTTGTTTCTGTGTAAAGTTCTCTGGTCTGTTTACTTTTTTCAATCAATGGGGTTTCATGGTCAAAATTTTCTTCCTCAGTTGACTCTTCCTTTTGGCTCTTCGTTTCGTCTTTTTTAATATATGTAATACTTTTAATTTCCTCATTTTTATTTATTTTACTGTGAATAGGGTTCGAATTTTGCATTTTACCATTTTTCACAGTTATAACGTAATCTGACCCATTGGCGTACTTTATGGATTGAGTAACCAAGATCACTATTTTGTCTATCAGAAATGTTTTAATGCATTGTTCAAATATAAAATCTGCAACAATCGCATCCAAACTAGCCAGACAATCATCTAATAAATATATATCACGTTCTTTATAAACAGCTCGCGCTAAATTTATTCTAGCTTTTTGTCCTTTACTTAGATTAGTTCCTCCGTCAGTTACAAGAGTAGAATCACCATCCCCTAAAAATCGTAAGTCTTCAGTTAGAGCACAAACCCGCAAAACCTCTAAGTAACGATTTTCGTCGTAACTGCTTCCAAATAAGATGTTTTGTTTGATGGTCGATGGAAAAAGCCAGGGTTCTTGAGATGCATAAGAAATGCTTCCGACGACTTCTAAATCGCCTTCAACATTTTTGTATTCTTTTGTGAGGGCTTTTAACACAAGGCTTTTGCCACTGCCAAGCGGTCCTGTTACTGCTGTTACCCCTTTTCCAAAATCACACTTTTTCAAAGTTGTTAGTATAGGGTAAATGTGTACAAGAGTACGCACTTAGTGTAAAACTGTCAACAACTTTTTAATTTTTTTGGATAGACAAATTTTATGATATAGGTTCGTTATATACATGTTTAGAGATCAGATATATTTAATTGTACGTCCCAAGACCACTATATTTTAAGAGTAATTTCAATTTTTGTCAAGATGTGTAAATGCGCACTTTTAGACAGTTCATTGCACAAGAGTGCGCATTTGAACGCTTATGAGTGCGCATTACATTTAATGAAAAAATATTTGTTTCTAAGGTGAAAATAAATGGGAATAAGTGACTACAGACTACACATAAAACGGGAGACCTATTTCTTCGTACTCTAGGGGTCTTCAAAAGTCGAGAAAACAAAAAAATAGAGAGTCGGTCGACGGACTCGATTACAACACGCTCAGGAAGTAAAAATAAAAAAAAATTACCATAACCACCACCACACAACTTGAGAAGCAGTACAAAGTAGTAGAGTTAACTAATTCATTATCGTATGATATGTATCTCCAAGGCTATTAGACTACGTATTGCAAGCAATGCGCACTCTTATACAATACCTCGCTGCGCACTCTTGTACATTTGTACATAACCTAATGTTTTCAAAGTTAAAAGCTTTTGATTGATAGAAAGTATAAAACTGTTAGGGTATAACGAGACCTTAAAAGTTACAGCTAAGGAAAATTATTACTGTAAAATAAAAGAACTGGTACGTACCTTACAAAAAACTAAAACTATGAGCGGTAAAAATTACATCCACACAACGTGTGAATATAAAATCGTCAGTACGACCAAACTGTAAACTATATTCAGGTCACTTTTGCACCTTTATCTCAGGTTTAGCATTAAATTCTGAATGGTATAACTTCATCTTACCCAGATGGCACTAATAAGCAGAAATCATCAGTGCGTACTCTTATACATATTCGCACTCTTGTACACATTTACCCTATGGTTATGGGAAGTCTGAATTTTTAAATCAAGTTTAATTCTCGGTGGAAGCTTATTGTCTTCTAGGTTTAGTGATTGTTCACTCTCAATTCGAAGTGTTTGTCCGATTCGTTTAAACACAGCAATCAATGTAGCAACTTCATGGATCGCTTTTGGAAAATTATATTTTAAAGCACGAGAAATATCATTTAGACTGTTCATTATAAGAAATAACGTGCCGGCATTTGATTGGATCTTAAACCAAATGGATGCTGCCACTATTATGTACCACGACGCGTTGTGAATTGATTCAGAAATTACCATTTTTAGAAAAAGTAGTATATTTATATTCCGTATAAGCCGGACTTCGTCACTATACATAAAGAACACAACAAACACATTATCAGACATTTGTTTACTTACTTACTTTCTGATTTTAGCAATTCTCTTTTCGTAACTTTCTTCCCAAAGGTTCATTTTAATGACCTTTATAGCACTTAGCGCTTCTTTGATTGTTTGATATCTTTCATCAGTTTTACTCAAAGATTTCAATTTAAGTTTTTTCACTACTATTGCTATACATGCTGTAAAAATTTAGATGCTTAGTGAGTAATTCAGTTTTTGCCTGCTTACTGTTGACAAACATGATAATAAAAATGATTATAGGGAGCAAAACAAATAACCATCCAATTTCTAAATATAGGAGACAACATACTGCCACAAGCTTGCATACGTCCCTGATCATGTTGGTTATGTTATAGATGGCTTCTTCAAATTCGTTCACATCTCTGGTTATCAGATTTATCATATTGCCACCATCAACCTGTGACGGGTTAATTTTTAAAAGTTGTCTGTAAATCAAAGTTGTGAATCCAGTACGCATTTTAATGCCAAACTCAGACATCATTAGTTGCAAATTGTATTGGTAAACACGTCTGATTAGTATCAGTATAATCAACAATATTCCATAAAAGCTCGCATCAGTTTTGCTTAAATTAATCTGTTTCGGTGTAAAATATGAAATGAACTGTTTTAGTATCTTTGGTTGTAATAACCTAAACAAATGATTAAAAGCGAAGTGAAATTATTACTGCGTTATCGTAATTACGTAATTGTCACTGGGATGACCAAGCTGATAACCATAAAAAGATACTGTCTGCCAAAACATTTCCAAAGAAGTCTAGGTATAGATGTTCTATTTTCATCAATTTGTGTCTTCCACTCATTTTATAATTTATCTCCTAATGTTTTTGACTTATGTTGTGGAAGCACTTCGTAAATATCATTTTGCGTTAGCTCAGTTCGATAACCCTTGATGAAAATATCCTTTGTATATCTAAAATTTTAAATTGCTTGCATTGTCCAAGTTTTTGCTTATCGGGTTGATTATACTTACAAAAAAAATGCGTTAAAAAATCCGTTGCTGTGTTTCTTCGGATTAGTGGATTTTTTGTTTGGCTTGCAGTAATCCATTTATTAGTGTTTATCTAGTTTAAATAATGCTTCTAATAGGTATTAGTACGATTAAAAATATATTGTGTAACGTTTTTATTTAAACTCAACTAGCGTTATTTAACATAATGGAAGTGTGGATAACAAAAAATGTTAATGTATTTTTTTGTGTTTGTCATAGGCTGATAACCCTTGAAAGTATATTAACTACGTTTTTAACCCAGATAATGAGTAGTTGAGCCGTTTTACGAAACACTTACCGTCCAATTATCCTGTCTATTTATGAAGTGTGTAAACATGCAATTCTATAACAAGTTTACTGTTTCCTTTATTTTATAAGTCACGTTCAGAAAACTTTAAAAGTGGAATTAAAATTTGTAGGAACAACAAGCATAAAGTTTGTTATTATGACAGAATCTTTGTCTCTTGTTGGTTTTCCAAAAATTAAAAAAAAAACACATATTGACACCAATATATACAAAAATTAGAAAGTTTCATTTTGTGTTATTATTATTAATCACCTTACTCATATCTAAAGTACTGTTTAATTCTTTGTCGGTATAAATCAGCCCATTACCATGGATCGTCTTCAGCTTTTCTTCATTGTTTAGTACTGGTACGTTGATCAGGGATTTAAAATTGGTGTAGGTAAAACTCAAGAATTTATTTCTTACTAATTCGATTTTACACAACTTGGCTGGACTCTGTCTTGACTCAACTTCTCTCATTGTCTGGACTACTCTGCCTGCTCCCGACGGTGGTTTCCACATAACGCCTCCGTCGCCGCTTCTAGACTTGCTTGGAGCACCCATTCGCGACTTCCGCTTACAGGCTCTTCTCCGGCCGCCGTCACCGACAACTTTTTAACTGAGTTTGATGATCAAATCTGAGGGGCATCCTTTTCTTACCCTCCATGGAATTTTCGAGATAGTCTTCTGCCGTGGCGTTTAATACTTGTCAAATTGGTTCCTGAATCAGCTAATAATGATGCGAATGATCTTCTAAAGCAATGTCCAGTACATTGTGTCGAATCACTGTGGGGAGTCCGTCATAAAATGCAAATCGGTAAACAACACCAGATAAGCTTATTTATTTTCAAATGAAGGATACAGGGAAATAACATCGAAATCCATTTGTATGTATTTTGAGAGTAATTGAGTTGAAAGTTTAAAATGCTTGGGAAAATAAATTGAGAAACCCACAAGGTTCAGTCTAACACAACTTTTTAATTTCTTTATAATGTTTTAAAAATTTATAAAATAAACTATTTATGTTCAAATATAACAGCAAAAAAAATTGGTGGAAAGTTGTTTCGACAGAACTTCCCTCGCATCTAAAATACAATGAAACATATCCAGCATTTTCGAGTTAAATTTTTACTTTAGGTACACAATTTTGTGATGAAACCATCAACATTTTGCAAGGACACGTAAATCAATGTGGATTAGACTAAAAATAACAGTATTCCAAAAATTTCTGGGAAAATGGAGTGAGTCGAGACTGATTTAATCAATAGAATAAATTGACTCATTCATTAATTTTTTTGAGCCACCTAGGTATATAAGCAAATCTAAAAAAATATGAATGCAATGATAAATTACAAGTAAAAACTCATCATATTTTGCACATTTTTAGTAGAATTTATTCAGCAGAATTTTGAGATGAAGTTATCAATTTTTTAGTGGCATAATCCTGAACTTGTAGTTTATAAATACATTATTGAGATTTTTCGGCTTTTCCATTTTTCAAATTTTGATGTTTCAATTTGTCAGTATTTTAATTTTTGACATTTTCAATTTTTCCATTCTTCAAATTTTCGATTTCTCCATTTTTTATTTTTCGATTTCTCAATTGTCCGATGTTTCAATGATACGATTTCGCAATTTTTCAACTTTTCGATATTTTAATTTTCCAATTTTTAAAATTCTACATTTTTCGATTTCTCGAGTTTTCAGTTCTTTTATGCATATTTTCGGGATGTATTAAATTTCTGATTATCCTTTTTTTTTAATTTTTCGATTTTCCAGTTTTTCGATGTTTCGATTTTTCAATTATACGATTGTTCAATTTCCCGATTTCTAAATTTAGATTTTCCAATTTTTATTTTTTTGATTTTTTCATGTTTGGACTATTTATTATTGCTAAAAATAAAAGTAAAAAATAACTACCAAAATTGTGACTAAAAATATGTAAAAATTAATAGAAAATAGAACACATTGCTGCTAAAACATAAAAATAACTGTACTTTCCCAAAAAAATCTATTGCATGATTACTGTTCCACTAGTACCTATTGCTAATTTAGGACGTTAGTATCAATCGCAATGAAAGTATTAATTCTTAGTTAAACAAAAAAATAGTTGAGTGTCAAAATCGAGTGAAACATGTGAGATGTGTGTAAATAAAAGCATCTAAATAATAACTATTTCCCGCAGAATTTCTGGAGGCTTATAGAGTCGACATTGGCCTGAGCGCACTCCGGTCTGTGGATCATACAAGTTCTCGAACGACGATGTACCTAACCAGGCAGTTGAAACACCTGATATGTCACAGCGCAAAAAGTATTTCTCAAAAAACCTTCAAACGTTGATGTCTTTTTAATCAAACAAAACACAATTGGCGAACGCAATAATCCAGAATGGTGCGCAGAAAAATCCTTTACAATAACCGAAAATTATTTTGGTAAAATTTGCAAAATGAGAGAACAACTAACACGGCTAATCCTACTGTACTGTGAAAAACAATTTACATCCCTGCAAATCTAGTTCGGCATGTACTCTCCCAAAATCTTTGCATAGAAAATGAAGCAAGGGCAACTGAAGCATTTTGCAGTAACACCAAACTGACAAAAAGACTATACGGTTTGTACATTTTTAGCGGCATTGCCAGACGGCTTAATAAACAAAAACGCTATCGTAGAAATATATAAAATGTCCAATTTAAATAAGGCTTAATTTAACGAGATGATAAATTTTGGGAAAATAATATGATGGAGCCCTAGAAAAATTTTATTTATATGCCTTACTTCCGGAGAGAGTAGATTCTCGTTATTACACAAGTCAACCCATTAGACAAATTGTAAAGAAAAAATTGTACACTTAAAATTTTTGATTTGCATTCGCGTCATGTGTAGTTCATATAAACCTTTTGCCCTTCTAGTATAAACACACACAGGAATAAATAGTAATGTTGGAATAGGTTTACTGGAGATATCACGTAAAAAACGTGCCTATAATACTCTACCTCATAGGTGGTGCGTAAAAGAGTATCAAAAAATTAAATTTAAATAAATATGATTGTTCAGATAAATAAATGGTTAGTGAAGTGATGAGAATCTAAATCTTGTCAGTTTTGTGTATTGATTAATATATAAAATGACAGATTAATAAAAAATATTTGAATAATTTTTTCAAAGAAAATATTTTAGTAGAATGTATAAAATTATAAAAATTTGCATACTTTTAAACCAAATTATGCCAGTAATGAAAGAAGTCGACTTGTAAAAGAGTTTCAACAATGTTGGTCAGCTAAGAGTATTTATGAGTTTTATGACCTAAAGTAGCTGAACTGATTACCTGAAAGGGTCTTGCCCATAGAGCTCAATGTTGTCTTTGCACTGCTATAAAAGTTGAAGCGAAAAATGCTCTCTCCTCGTCTAAAAATGCAATTTCCTTCGAAGAATGAACGATTAATTAAACACTAAACAATCACTTATTTTAAAAAATATTGTGTCTTCGCCAGAGATTTAAAGATAATGTATCAATTGAAATGTAGATCTTTTTTTCAAAGTTGAAATTACGTCCGTAAAATGAAATTCTATTTAGCTCATTTTTCGGTCTGTTACTAGACACCCTTAATATGAAGAGATGATTAATTTTCAACAATAAGTTTTGAAGTTTGAGTAGTTGCATTTGGCTTATTTATAGCTAGTTTGCTACATTTTTTGCTTACTTGTGAAATTTGAAAGAAAGTTTTGACGATAACAGAACTACATAAAACCTTCGAACTCAAAAATTTATTTAGCTATTCGAAATACAACCCAGACAAGTTGAAATAATTAGATAAGAAAATTATATAAAATAATAACACAAAAACAACTTTTGTTACAGTAGTATAATATTTTCTAGTTTTTTTTCTTCTTAATAAATTATTATTAGAGGATATGCTGCGACGAAAATTGCTAGGTATACCCCTGTTGATACTGGAGAGCTTCCTGAAACAAAATAACAATAATTAATAGGTACTGGCTACTTTACTAAGTGTCGTACACTGTAAAGTCGTGGAATTACCCCAAGTCAAACCTCTTTCCTTTCTATCTTAAACACTTAGTGCGAGAAAAAAGTCACCAAATTTTGAGTCGGTCGTAGAGTCTTATGTCGAGTTCTGAAATTTGTCATACGTCCCAGTCAAAAATGAAGCGATTTAACGACCAAGCAATACAAATAGTTTTTAAAAATGTTACACTATCTTGATAGAAACCAAGATGTTTTGGAATCTAAGAAAAAAAGGAAGATAGAAATGTTAAAAATTTCGAAAAGATCTGTCTGCAGGTTACAAAAAATCTGGGTTTAAGTGACTTTGAATACAAGAAAAATCTTTTAGAATTAGATTATTTTTGATGGAACTCCCAACTTAAAAATTCAAATTACAAAAATGTCTCTTATTTAGTTTCCCTTTTTAGTATGTACCTGAGTTTTCAGTAATTGCTAATTTGAAATTTAGATTTATCCATAGCAACATACTCGTAACATAAGAAATCAGGTTACTAAAAAATGTCACATTCTAAGTGTTTTTGATTAGGGGTATTTCCACTACTATAGTATTAAAAACTAGGGTGTCATATTTTTCTAACATAAAATATAAATCAAAGCAAAAGACTATCAACTCTTTGTTCAGCAAATGGTTACCTGAACTAGAATTTGGAGAACCACCAAAAGCATTTTCTTTGTTTTCTTCCGAATGGATACACTTTGGTCGGCACACTGTCTTGCACGTCTTGTCCTCTGTAACAGAATATTTAATTTATTTTTTGAAAAGAACCTAGTAGTCACTTTTTAACTACGTTTATAAGGGAAAAAAGTGTATGAAGAATTACGTTTCTTTCAGTTTTCTAAGTGCCGGTAATAGATAAAAATATTCTTTACGACTGAAAATTTTGTTCAACTAATGAATGTACTCACCCTTCGAAGAAATCTCAATAGTCTCGTTAGCTGAAGTACTTAATATAACTTCGGCAGAATCGGTCTTAACATTGTGGAATATCGCTTCACTGTTTCTCCGTTAATGTTAATATGCAGAGTGTTGTTGCTTGGTATAACATAATAAGAAGTAGTTTGATCTTGACCATAACTTTTTATTTCCCTCCGGTACTGATGTGATATTCCTTTGGGATCAGTAATGTTCTGGATATGCCAATGAAGAAAGACCAGAGTCTCTGAACGAAACGTTAACTTACACTTTTCTTGTAAAACTGAAAGGGACAACAAAAAATTAGTAAAATATATGATACATTTTTGTGGTAGTCAGAGGTGATACATTTTTATTTTCCCGTGCATTCAGTTTCGTTTTATCACACAGATTTACTGACAAGCAATATTATATTTCATGAAAATCAACTTCAAATTTACAAAGATTTTTTGCGTGTCAATACTGCCGAAATTACACAAAAAAAAAATATAATTATGCAATTTTGCAATTTTGCGTGATTCAATTAAGGATTTGGAGGGGTACTAGACCTGTTGGTTTATAAAAACCTTGAATTTTTATCCCCATAGGGAATTTTGCTTTTGCCGGCCGATATCAGTTGTCGGAATGTATATAAGATTTGACTCACCGATTTTGATGAGTAATTATTATGAGTCATTTATATGCTTACCGTGTAAGTTATAGTTAAATTGGTCAGCTTTAAAAACAAAGAAACATCCGTTTCTTATTCTTACATTGATGTATTTTTTAATTGAAAATTTTGATAGATGCAAATCGTTTTTCATGATTGTAATTACATCGGTTTCATCTTATAAGTTGTGCAAGATTATGTAAAACACCTGATGTATTAGAAAATTATTGTCTTTTCTTAATAGAAAGAGTATTATAAGAATAATAATATGCTTACTTTGCCTATTATTGATAACAAAAGCATCACAGAGAGTAATCGCCAGTGTAATAATTAGACTTATTCTTATTACACGCATCACTTCGCTATTCTCGACATGAAATGACAATTATCTTACTTATCTTATCTTTTGAAGTTCTACCAACGCAAATTTTAAAAAAGTTATTTTAAAATAAACACCTACAGGCAACCAGCAATTAGAATTTTCTTTGAAGCACTAGTATTATTAATATTGAAAATTTAAATACGTAGGCTTTGAACTATTAAAATAAACTAGGTTTTTAATACGGGCAACAAATCTTGAAAAGATCTCAATTTCTTTTTGAAATTCGAGTAGTTATTATTACTATTTTTGTTATTATTATTAGCTTAAAAAAAATAAAAACCAACTTCTTTTTTTATACAATTATTTACATTTTTCACATATGCAGGATGTTATAATTACAAATGCAATAAATATTATATAAGAGCATCTTTGTACTTTCAGAGCGTAAACTCGTTGAGCACCTTCTTGAATATTCAGAAAGTTTCACTTTCCATTATAAAAGCTTGATTCATTTACAAATCAATACAAAATGAAAACTGCTCTTTACGTAAATTGACGCAACTAATAAACAGTAACCTTTTGTTTCACCGCCGTAAGTTAACTGATTTTTTTTGTGCCAATATTAATTTTCAATAATGGTTTTTTCATATTCAAAGGCGGAGTCCTACAAAAAATGTTGTATGATATACGTGTTCAAAATTCATTATTTTTAAGACTTACATCATAATAACTATTTTAGCTTGCATTTTGGCTTATTTGTAGCTAGTTTACTCCATCGTTTTTTGCTTACTTTTGAAGTTTGAAAAACAAAGTTGAGGATAACAGAACTAAATAAAAGTTTCTAACTCAAAAATGTATTTAACTATTCGAAATACAATAGTGATAAGTTGAAATAATTAGATAGGAAAATTGTATCAATTAATAACTTAAAAACAACTTTTGGTACAGTACTATAATATTTTATAGATTTTTTTCTTCTTAGTAACTTATTAGAAGATATGCTGCGACGGAAATTGCTAGATGAGCCACTATTGATGCTGCAGAGCTTCCTGAAACAAAATAACAATAATTAGTAGGTACTGGTCACTTTACTAATAAGTGTAGTATTAAAAACACTATAGTGTCAGATTTTTCAAACACGAAATATTAATTAAAGCAAAGCGTAAAAAACTGTTTGTTCAGCAAATGGTTACCTGAATTAGAATTTGGAGACCCACTAAAAGCATTTTCTTTGTTTTCTTCCAAAAGGACACACTTTGGTCGGCACACTCTCATGCACGTCTTCTCGTCTGTAACAGAATATTTAATTTTACTAGTTCTGTTTATCTAATGTACTCAACTCACCCTTAGAAGAAATCTCAATAGTCTCGTTAGCTGGAGTGTTTAATATAACTCTGGCAGAATCGATGTTAACATTGTAGAATATCTTGACTGTTTCTCCGTTAATATTAATATGCAGAGTGTTGTTCTTTGGTATAACATAATAAGAAACAGTTTGATAACGACCATAACTTTCTATTTTACTCTGGTACTGTGATATTGCTTTGGAATCAGTTTTGTTCTGTATATGCCAATCAAGAAAAACTACATTTTCTGAACGAAACGTTAACTTGCATTTTTCTTCTAAAGCTGAAAGAGACGACAAAAAATTAATAAAATAAATCGTACCTACATTTTTATGGTAGTCAGAGGTGATTTTTATCTTGACGTGCATTCAGTTTCGTTTTATCACTTATTTACTCAAAAGCAATATTATATTTACCCGATAAAGAGCTAACGACCGATTTACTTAATATTTCAGAATTCGTGAAAATCACCTGCAAATTTACAAAGATTTTTGCGTCTTAATACTGCCGAAATAAAACAAATATAAAAAAAATATACACAATTTTGCGTTACTCAATTAACGATTTGGAGGGGTGGAAATGTTCCGTCAGTATTTTTTTTTTCGTTACAAGAGATACTCATCTTCAAATACTAAACCTGTGGGTTCATGAAAACTATAAATTTTTGTCCCGTCAGGGAACTTTCCTTTTGCCGGCCGGTATCGGTTGTCAGAATTGGGTAATCTTTACTTATAGTATGTACATAAGATTTCAATCACCTATTTTCATGAGTATGGACATAAATTAAAGTAAGTGGGTCGCCAGCTCTTAGTATAATGCAAATATAGATACGTCATTATGAGTCATATATATGCATACTGTGCAAATTACAGTTAAATTAGTCAACATTAAAAACAAGGAAACATCCATTTCTTATTTTTATATTTATATGTCGACAATTGTATTTTCTAGTTGAAAATTTTGACAAATGCAAATCATTTTTTTATTATTGCAATTGCATCAGTTTCCTTATCAGTTGTGTAACATTATGTAAAACACCTTCATATATACTAGACAGAAAGGGTAAAAATAAATATGCTTACTTTGATTATTATTGATAACAGCACCACCAAAAACACTAGTCGCCAGAGTAATTAGGGTTATTATTCCAATTACGTGCATCACTTCGCTAGAATAATTAGGCTTATTATTCCAATTACGTGCACAATCACTTCGCTATACTCGACATTAAATGACACATACTTAAGTCAAACAGAAGTTATCTTATCATTTAAATTTGTATTAGTACATCTACTTTCCAACAGATTAAAAAAACTAATGATTTACGTACCTAGATATATAGGCACCCAGCAATTGCAGTTTTCCATGAAGCACTAGTTGATATTATTAATTTTGAAATTTTAAATACACATGTAGGCTCTGAACTTTTAAAAGAAACTAGCTTTTTGAAAGCCTGATACAGACAACAAATTTTGAAAACATCTCATTTTCTTCTTGAAATTCGAGTAGTTATAGTAAATACGAGAATTGTTTACTTTCAGAGCGCAAACTCAGTGCGAAACAATAGGTCACCCGTTTCCCTCCGTCTGTCTGTCTGTCTGTCTGTCGCTTGTCCGGATTTTTATTAGACAGATAATCTGCGAAACTACTGAACCAGTTATTAAATTTTATATGTGTTATGATGTTACGAACATCGTGTAATTGATCAAAATTTGGTTAATCATCATATATTAATCAAGTTACAATGTTAAAAAAAACAAAAGAAATTATTATTATCTATAGAATACTTTTCAATTATGACATTTTCAATGAAATAAAGAAAAATATAAAAAATATCTAAACTGTTAAATACACAATAGTTTTTTTCGACGAGTCATTAAAAAACGTGGCGGAAGGTTTATCAGCATTAATAACAGCCCTTAGTGGGTTGGTTTCTACATTACAAAACCAACGAACATCGACTGCAAGTGTACAAGAAGTTTTGCAGACTCAGGCTATAACTTTCGACGGATTTAATGAAAGCGTTGAAAATTTTGAGTTACGGTCAAAGACTCGAAAATTTTTTCAAATTAAGAGGTTTGCATAAAAACGATAAAGAAACTAGTGATGCTAAATTTATGGTACTAATAAACTGTTTGGGCAGCAGTCATTACAAATTACTTGCAAGTTTGGCCTCTCTAGAACTACCAGCTACAAAAACCTACCAAGAATTAATGGATCTTCTAAGAAAGCATCTTGCACCGAAGAAAAATGTTTTAGCTGAACAACATAAATTCCTTTCAAGAGTTCAACAACTAGGTGAACCAATTTCTACATTTTCTACATTCGTTGCAGGATTGAAAGAATTAATTAAAAATTGTGAAGTCAAAACGGAATGTAAAGAAAAAGAATCTCCTTTTTTAACTTGTTCGAAATTTGTGATCGACATGATACTACGAGCTCAGTTGATCCGAGGACTGCAAGAGAAAGAATTCTTCAGTTAGTAAATGTCTCCTTTGATAAAGCATTAGAAACAGCTCATCACGTGCGTCAAATAATGTTCATAAAATTGGTTTTACTAAAGGACAATCGGTATCAAAATATAATCAAAATAGATCTTCACGTCAAAAATCTTCAAAAATAACAGGTCGAAGCATAAATTTACAAGAATTGGGTCTCTCCGGATTATGCTTACATTGTGGAAAAAAGAATCATCAAACTGACAACTGTCGCATCAAAGAAAAACTTCCCTGTAATTTCTGTCGAAAAAAAGTGTCACACAAATAAAGTATGTATTTCTAAATTACTTCAAAAAAATCGACAAACTGTCAAAAACGTCGATATCGGTTCAAATTCCTCTGTTGATGAAGAATTTCAAATAAATAATAGTATCGACATCTTCAATACCTCTTCGTCTACTTATGAACCAGCAATGTTCATTACAGTACAAATTCTTGGCAAACCAGGTAAATTTGAGTGTGATACGGCAGTCCAGTCAGCATCATTTCAAAGAAAATCTTCGATGCGTTGAATCTTAAAGTGACTCTTCGAAGTACAAACATTCAATTTCGTTCCTATACGAAACAAATATTTAAACCTCTAGGTTACATACGAATACCTGTTGCATATAAAAAGAAGAAGTTCATGGGAGATTTATTTGTCGTTTCTGATTATGGTACAGCCATTATGGGAAGAAGATCGATTCGAAACCTACAGATAAGTCATCATGACTAGAGAGCGGATTTATAAGCACAAAAAAATTAAAAATAAGCGCTTAAATAAGCACAACATTTTCAATAAAAAAGTTTTATTTTGAACCAAAAAGCATTAAAAACATAATCATATTACAAATCAAAGAACACGTCTTAGAACTTTGGATAAAATATTATTACAATAATCCTAGACTTTATATTTTACACACGTATTTCAGTTTTCTTTAAAACAATTTATTATTGTAATATGTTCCAAGTTGTCCACTGTAAAATTTTTTCGCCGATCATTTAAAATGTGTTTAAAATTGGAGAATGTGCGTTCAACATCCACACTCGTTGTTGGCGCAAATTTGAATTTTGCAACTAATGTTGAATCTAACTCCAAATTTTCCACCTTCTGGCCTTGTAAAACACGAGCAACGTCGGAAAGAACACCGAAACCTGCATTTTAATTTAACACTTCGTCAAGTTTTTGAGATACTCTATAGTACCAATATCACCCCTTACTGCGTTTGCTTGTTGTTTAAATTCTTTCACTAAGTTTATGGCATCTACCAACAACATGTTGGGTTTTTCTAACTTTTCTATTACCTCACATACGAATTGATAATTGCTTCTTAGAAAAGCTAGATCTTGTCGCAAATCTTTGTTTTCCAAAATATTTATGCAATCTTTAATCGATTGAGAAGAATCTTCGCTAAACTCCGTAACTACATCCTCAAATTCTTTGATATATTTGTCATAATAAAATGTGGCCTGTAACCATGTTCCCCACCTCGTTATAATCGGCTCTGGGGGCAATGGTATGTTTGGAAATTTTTCCTTAAAATGTTGCACTCTTAGCGGGGCTTTAACAACAATCTTTTTACCATTTGCCACTAATTTATTAACAGTAGAAACTGCATACGTATTCCTTCAGCCACTCTGTTTAAACCGTGGGCAATGCAAGTAGAGTGAATTAAATTGGGGTACAATATTTTTAGATTATTCCCTGCTTTCAACATATAACGAGCTGCATCCGAGATCATCAATAAAATTTTATTCGCCGGTACGGCATTTGCCAAAAATAGTGACGTAAGACTATCATTTACAAATCTGGTAATCGTATTGCCATTTGTTTTATCTAACATTTTCAAACTTACTACATACCCTCGACTGATGAAATTTTCATTTAAGATTCCAACAATTAAACTTGCCACATATCTTCTACAACTATCGGTTGTTTCATCGACAGCGAACCATAAATAATTATCTCCAATGCGATGTTTAATTTCGTTGTAAACTTGCCGAAACACTGGGCCTACATAATTTTTTCGGAGAGTACTTTCAACCGGAATATGTCGATTGCAGTGTTTTTCAAGGAATTCTTGAAGAGGGCCCCTCTCCAATTTTTTTAAAGGTATATTGGACTGGATCATCATTTTACATAGATCGAAATTAAACTGAAACTGCTCATCTTTTGTGGAAGTAGATGGAACAGATTCATGGATGGTCTGCTGTTTAATTTTAGAAACTTCAAACATTTTCTTCCTTTCTACATGAAGAATCGTTCTGACATGTTGCGTACCGTTATATTTTTTATCACTTTGAATCTAAAACAACGTACATATACAGGATTAACAAAGGAAAATAGATAAAAAAAAAATTAGTGGGCTTACGGTTAAGCTCTGCAGAATATTTTGTTGTTTTCTAATTTTAATTCTGGAAAATCCCTTATCCACTCATCCGGCGTCTATGTTACTTTCAGCATTCTTTTAAAATATTAGTAATACTACCAAAAAAAACTCAACATGTAACAAAGGAGAACCACGTATAACACTATACTACGACAGATGCGATAGACTGATGGTTGTGAAATAAACGGTTCATTTACTTAAAAGTTTCCATTAGAAAAATTGTAAGGTAGGTAGTTGGGTACAATAATCCTTTTTTCTAGAAAATCTTCAACGGTCTTGACGCAAAATGCCGAGAAAGAACATCTGGTTAAAAGCTTTAATTCATTATCAACGGAAGTAAGGATTTAAAGTCATAAAATCTATAGAGTATTTTTCCAATCCTATAATAAAATTTTATTACCCAAACGACCGGAACCTATTCACAGAAAGGGTCTTGAGTAAGTGTACTTCAATGGTCAAGTCCAGGTAAAATGCATACGATACGATACGGCTAACTAACAAGTATTTGTCATCCCGACAAGACCGGCATTTGAACAAAATATGCATTAAAACTCATACTCGTCGAAAAAAGCATTAAATAAGCATATAAGTTTTAATATGCATAAAATTGAAAAAAAAGCAAATAAGCATAAAAAAAATGTGTCAAATGACTCCAAATTGTATCATAGTTACAGATATAAAAAAGTTTTGAAGTGCTTACATTTTTCACAAAAAGCATTAAACCTAGAAATCCGCTCTCTAATCATGACTTTTATTCTATTTCTACTTGTCAACCATTAATGTCAGAAATTTGCAATCAATTCAGCGACTTTTTTCAACCAAAAGTTGGTGCAATTCCAAACTATCAATGCTGTTTATTTCTTCGAGCTAATGCACAATCAATTTTTATAAAGCTTCGCCGGGTTCCTTGCGCTCTCCAAGAGAAAGTTGAACAGGAATCAGATGACTTAGGGCCGGTTGCGTAAACGCAAATCAAATTTAAACTCTGATTAACTCCATAGTAACGATTGTTATTATCATAGTTAAAATTGTTCTTAATCAGAGATTAAATTTGATTTGCGTTTATGCAACCGGCCCTTAGAAAATCAATGTATTACATATTAAGAAAACTGGGGACACCTTTGGTTATTGTGCCGAAGAACTGCGTAAATTGGAGACCAGATAACAGCTCCATATTCCAGCCTCGAACGCACTAGGGAACAAAAAAGTAATTTCAAAGTGCTTTCGTTATGAAAGTCACTGAAGTTTCGGCAAATAAATCCATAAGTTTTATATGCCTTAGTGATAATCTCACTAATATGTTTTACAAAAGTTAATCTATTATCAAATACAATACCCAAATCCTTAAAGCTGTCTACGCGTTCTAAAACAGATTATGTTGTAATCAAAGTAAGTAGTCTGATTTCTTCGTGTGTTTGAAACAACTTTGCATTTTGCAATGTTCAGTTTCAAGCGGTTCTCCATACACCATGTACATGCAAGATTTAGACACATTTGTAAAACAACACAATCTTGTATACCATTTATCTTAGTGAAAAGCTTAAAGTCATCCGCAAACACTAATTTCTGACAAGTAATATTATTAACTAGATCATTAATAAAAAGTAAGAATAGCAGAGGCCCCAAATTTGAACCTTGTGGTACACCCGACGTTGGAACAAAAGGCTTAGAAGTGAAATTTCTATACTTGATACAAAATTGTCTCTGACGCAAATAGGAACAGAAAAGTTTAATTAAGGATTGAGAGAAGCCAAAGTGATTTAATTTTTCAATCAATATAAAATGATCTCTTTGATCAAAAGCCTTTGTAAAATCGATATATATCACATCGCATTGCCCTTTATTATCTATGACTTCTGATACATACTGAGAAAAAATGGCCAAATTCGTAATCGTCGATCTTTTCTGAGTAAAGCCATGTTGATGTATAGAAATTGACTGCTTAGTTTGATTATAAATATCAGAATATAAAGTTGTTTCAAATACTTTGGCGAAATTGCAGAGTAGAGAAATACCTCTGTAATTGGTAACATCACTTGGATTTCCTTTTTTTAGGATCGGACATATATACGCATGTTTCCATAAAGAAGGGAAAACTGAGTGTTTAAGTATAAGATTAAATAATACACTTAACGGATGCGCTAGCGACCATGCACTGTCTTTAAGTATGAAAGAAGGAACGCCATCAATTCCCATTGTGAGGGAGTCCTTTGATCGTTTCAGAATTTACAACACCTCCTGTGATGAGATCGGAGAAGCGATAATTTGTGTAGAAGAACTAAGTTTAGGGGGTGGTTGTGTGTGGTCCCTAGGAATAGAACGAATAAAGACACTGTTGAAATATTCGCCAAAAGCATTAACGATGTCTGAGGGGGTAGAAAGTTCGGTACCGTCATACACCATAAGACCAGGAATTCTGGTAGTCCCTTTTTTGGATTGAATAAAAGCCCAAAACTTTTTCGGGTGTGCAGAAATAGACTTCTCAGTGTTTGATATGTACCTTTTGTATGCTTTTTCAACGTCGTCTATATTCTGTAGAGGAGTCCAATCGATGGACGAAAGACTTTCATAAAGTAAAGGGTAGTTGGCTCGTTTAAAATTATATCCATTGTTACAATTCATCATGTGAAATGAGGGTGTGCCTTGAGTGAAGATATTAGAACAATTAATGCAGACAGCCGGATGGTGTGGATCATCCTTGTCTAAATAATATTTGGCTCTATCGACAACACAATAAAAGTTAGAAAAAATTAGATCTAGACAACGACCATTGGAATTTTCAATATGATTGTATTGTTGAAATGAATATAATTCTTTAAAAAAATTTATAGGTCTGGCTTTAGTATCGGATCGTCGACCCAATCGTTGAATTTTAATATTATCGTCATCAAAGCTGGGGTTAATACATTTTAAAATATCCTTTACTGACGATTGATCACGCTCAGGCGAATGAACTTGGTCGAGCTCGACTTGTTGTTCGTCAATACCGAACATAATCAAATTTTGCTTCCTATTTTGACGCTCCGTTACTTCAGTAACCATATCTTCAAAGCGATCTGACTGTTTGTTGTTGATAGATACTTGTAAATCGTTCAATTTAGCTTCAAAATCAGCTTTTAAGTTGGTGATAGAAGTGGCGATCTCATTTTGAGGCGCGGCAATTGTAGATTTTAGATCTTTAAATTGTGATATATTGTTGTTACAATTGCTGCAGACAACTTTGACAGCTTTGGATTTTGATCTTGTCCATTTCACGTCGTTTTCGGATAAACCGATACATTTTAAGTGTAGTGGTTTCTGACATGCATCGCATGGTAAGGATGATGAGTACGTCTAAGCTACAATTAGGACAAATAAGCATAATGATAAGCAAGACAGGGACACAGAGCTTCACACCCAGGGGCCTATCAGGGTGATTAACTATAAACGTACAGGAAGGCCACGGTTCAGGTGACAAAGATGTGTGGGTGTGGAAAAAGATTAGCAAAAACCCTGTCAGCTGATTTTTACAATTCAATTGCAATTGCAATGTAAATTAATGTTTTATACGACAAGATAATATTACGTTTATGAAACTTTACCATATGTAGAATGATGAGACACGCTATCAGATGTGCCAAATTCAATAATTAACATCGATTATACTCGCAGTTGAAATCACAAAATACGCACAACGAAACACTCGCTACATTCAGCTCGAAAAAAAAAAATATAGAATGGACTTTTAGGTGTTTTGTCACATCGTTTTGCAGACGGATCTGAAAGACCAGCTGCTTTTAGAATGTTAAGATAAGCACAATTTTATCCTGTTTCAATTATTCTATCAAATGTCGAAAATCCAGTGAACATGTAAATGTTGATTATTTCTCCAGAAGTCCATTGAAATTATCACCAAAAAAAGAAGAACAAACTGATGATAAATACGTGTTAAATACGATTTTATTTAATCAGATTAGTACGGAAACAGTCACAGCTCATGAAATTGAAAAAGAAACAAGAACAGTTCCAGAATTATGTAAAAAGAAGAAAGAAATTCTAAAAGGAATCAGAAGAGATCTAGAATTTTCACTGCACGATGGAATAATATTTAGAGGACATCCTGTGGTAATTCCAAAAAAAATACAACACATTATTCTACAAGAACTTCAACACACCTAGGAATGATTAAAATGAAATATCTAGCAAGCAACTATTGCTACTTGAAAGGCATCGATTCTGACACCGAAAATATGGTTAAAAGTTGTCAAGCTTGTTGCGATTTTAAGAAAAATCCTACAAAGATTCAATTCATCAATGGGAAATACCAGAAAAGAATTGGCACGTGTACACATGGATTATGCAACCCATTTTACAACCATCATTTTCTAATTCTTGTTGATGCCAAATCCAAATGGCCAGAAGTAATTATGGTTACAAATTCTCCTACATCAGCGAGCACCATGTATCATTTACGAGAAATCTTTAATCGTATGGATTACCAGAAATATTAGTTAGTGACAATGCAACCATCTCCAATCAAATGAATTTAGAGCATTTTCTGAACGGAATGGTATTAAACAACGGATGATTGCACCAGGACATCCAGCCACAAATGGTCAAGCAGAACGATACTGTCAAACATTAAAAACCTAATTTAAATGCATGATGAATGAACCCGGTGATTTACACGCGAAACTTTGTAAGTTCCTCCTGCGGTATCGAGTTACTCCGTTCGAGACACCTTCTGAACTCTTTTTTGGAAGAAATGTACGAACCAAGTTAGATTTTATGAGACCGACTGAATCAGCAAAACAGAAAAACAAATCGAGATTCGAGAAACATTTTCAAGTGGGCGATAGAGTTCAATCCAGAAATTATTCAAGACATGGATTATGGAAGTATGGAATAATTGCAAAATGTGTTGGTAATCTACACTATTTAGAAGAACTAGATGATGGTTATGTAATTAAGCGGCATTACAATCAACTTCGTTCCTGTAATGTAGAGAAGAAAATGAATATCAATATTGAAACAGGTTTTGACACTACCTTGGATCTAGAAGTTGATCGTAAGAATTCTCCAAACACCAACATTTTGATTCAATCAACAATTTTTTTTTTCTTTTATTTCAGCTTTTTTACCTGTTTTTCCATCTATTTTAAGGTACTTTATCATGTTTTTAAGCAAACAGGCCAATTTTGAGGTTGACGTTTTTTATTGCTTTCTTATAAAATAAAAAAGTTCACTTGTCAGTACCAAAATGCTACTTAAGAGTTAATTAAGGGAGAATTAATATAATTTTAAACCGAATGCGGCCTATTCAGTATACCAATAAACGGAATGTCTCCAGTTCGGATTAGGATGTCTTAATTAATAGTTTTTACGGAAAGATTCTACTAAAATGTCTTGGTATTTATTGAATAAAGGTACAATTTGAAAATTTTATAAAAATATATTCAATAGAATATGATAATTTTGCTTCTTAAAATAAAAATTAATATAGTGTTAAATATATCATTATATTACGGTGATGGGTCGTCTGTTCAGCTGTCGATCCACATGAGACCAGTGTGTCCGCATTACCCAAAAGGCCACTATGACTATGACTATGACAAGTACTAGAAGATATGTAGATGTGCTGGCTCCTGCAATCATATGTAAACAATACAAATCTAGCGTTAATATAAAATTATAAATATGTTTCCGTACCTGAAAATCCAAATGTAAATGACAAAATTATTCGTTCGAGCCACCTCCAGTCGATAGACCCCAAAGGCTGCGATGTATCTGAAATTACAACGTCTTGAGTTAGAAAATTGTACCTACATGTGATAAAGTATCTCGTAGCTTGCACGTCTGGTGCTTGTTTGAGAACATCTTTATAACTTAATTAATGGACGTATACCAGATTTTGAAGCTGAATTTGATTCCAAATGTTCGTCTTTCTTCTTACGTTCTGCAAAATGCTTCGTCCCATTTTCTGACAGTTCAGCTCCTGGATTCTCGTGTTGGATGGATGCTAAGTTAAATAGAATTTATACATGCATTAGTAATAATTTTTGTAAAGACGTACATGGTATTTAAATTTTAAATGTTGTTTATAAAAAAGTTTTAAAATTTACATGGTTCAGCACGAGTTCTAGGCGCTTTTGTAAGTAAATACGTACTATGAGGTTCCGTTCATCTTGATATTAAAAGTAAGAAAATATTTTGCACACAATTATGGTACAACGTCGTTATTTACGTTATGTATGTTACTGAGTGTTATATACTCATTACAATTTTTGAATTTCCCGCTGTCAGTTGCATCACTGGTGAGTAGTGTCGGTGTCCCAAATTGGGTCATGAAAAATTCTACTCTATCACTATTAATTAATTGTTGTTAAATTACTACAAATCAATAAAAACGTAAAACTTATTGCATATTATAGTATCTTCGTGTATAATGTGCGTTTATTATGTATAATTTCGATAGGTAAAACGTTGGTTATTTTTGTACTACTGCTACTTAAAGGACACGTAAAGCAAGGAAACCGCAAAAGTTTACTCACCATGTATACAAATCGTCCCGAAAAATGTTTGCGGGATTGTAAGGAGACTCATTATTACCATTAGAAACAGGCACATTTTGCTGCTTGTAAAATTCACGAATTATTCTTTGATTCTCAGGTGTGTGTGTCACTTTTCACAGTCTGTCATAAACTGTCATTGTCAAATTTTTGTTATCGAAAAATCTGATATATACCGAATGATAACAAAATGTAGGTATTATTGGTTATCAAACCACAGATTTTCATGAAGATTCAAGTGTATTTGGGAGAAATAAAATATTTTGTTGTAAATAAAGAACAACATAATTACTAATGATATACAGGGTGTTTTCGAAATACATGTACAAAAAAATTTAGCTGTGTGGTGCGACTAAGAGGCCTGAAAAAATTGATTCTAATAGTACAGTTAATATAGGCCTAATCGAACATCAACCAGATTTTTGCGACACCCCTATTGGCATCATCAACAGGTGTAGGTACTCAATGTACTTTTCTCAATCTTAGCAACCATGAAGTGTAAAAATCCCGGTGGCAACGATAATGATAACCAAAATAGCAAAAAGATGAATTACTGTCAAATTTACTCAGGTAATTTTTCTATGTTACTCGCACACCTGCAGAGAAAACTGTCTAAATTATGTATTTAGAACAGATCTTCGACGACTTATTTGACAATACAACGAAACAAATGAGACTTATTTTTGGCTGATTCGCGAAACCATTTAAAAGTTAAAGGGGGCCAAACAACTTTGTAGAAAATTCTCAAGTCAATGCGGTCACAAAATTGTATGTCAATTTTAAATTTGATTGTATTAACTACGCTTATGAAATATTGAAATAATAATTGTTTACTTCAGTGCTTTGAATCGTACTTATTACAATGGAATCGGTTCTTTTTAATTTATTATTTAAGTATGTTGAAGAATGATTAAATTTTTCTAGCGCAACCAAACTACTAAAATATTCATGTCAATTTTATATTGATTTTATCTTTTTTGTTAGATTTCCTGCATTATTATGTAAATTGGTTACATCATTATTCCATTTTAGTGACTAAAGCGACTTATTTATACCCAGTTACCTACTAAAATTAACTGAATTGTGGAGATCATTATCTCTATTAGCTTTTGACATTATTTTTTTTAAAAAGGTAAAGAATAAAATGAGATTTATATGTTTCCGTGTCGTTCATACGCTCAGTAACATGAATGTGGCCACACTTACGTTGTGGATAACCTCATTATTTTCAAAATTTTTGCTGAGTGTTTCTAATCATAGTTGCCCGATCAAACTCGATCATTTGTACATTCATTTTAAAGCAACAACAACAATCAGTCTTGAGATACTTAAGTACAAAAATGAAGATGACGAACAGTTGGTTGCTAATTGGTTGGCGACACAATTGTCCAAAATACAAGTGACCATCACAATTCAGGAGATACATTTAAAGAATCAACTTCTGAAAACCAATAATACCGTAGTACCACCTATAGCTGGACCAATTAAGGTGGAAAAAATGATCGTCAGTACTATTCGTACGGATTCAACAAGTGGTCACATAATCATAGCTCGAAACGATAAATTGGTACTAAAATACTTACAAATGCACCCTCGAACCATATTTTCCAAAAGTCGTGATTTTTTCGCCATAGTGTTGATGCACGACCCGATTAGTAACATTTTAGCCGAAATATGGATCCAGAATCAAGTTTCAAATATTTTATTACAATCATGTACCAGTGGAAGCACCTACATCTATTTACCATTTAATATTAATCGCACCAGCTACATTGTGACGAACGAATATTCACCTGGCAGAAGTCTGTCAAATTTCAATCAATTCCGTCTGCACGTCTCTATACAAAACAGACCTCCAACGGCTATCACCAAATTCCCTCGGGTCCTACAAAAAAATCCCATTTATGCTAATTTAGTTCAACGCAAGGATTTCGCAGGCGTGGATGGATTTCTCTTAACGAATTTAATAGAGCACCTAAATTTAAAACTTGACATTTTTGGTGAAACCGGTGTTGAGAAGGTAGAGTTTGGAAGAGTGTTTCCAAATGGTACCGCCACAGGAACTCTGGCGCTGATACTTAACCACCAAGTGCACCTAAGCGCCAATGGTCGTTTTTTGATGGATTACGGTACCACAATGGTTGAATATACGGTACCGTATAGTTCTGATCAAATTTGTGCGGTGGTACCTAAAGCCGAGAAAGTGGCAGAACTGCTAATATTATTGAAGAGTTTCACGCTACCCGCATGGCTCATGATTATGTTCATTTTTGTTATTTGTAGTGTTATTTGGTACCTCATGGGTACTTCCAGAAATGCTTGGTGGGAAGTATACTCACTGTTGCATGGAATCCCTGTCAAAATATCACCATTAACAAAGCAGATTCCATTTCTCGTGTCTTGTATGGGGTTTAATATTATTATTATAGGTTTAGTGGAAGGGACGCTATATCGTTCCTTGACGACTGTTTCGTACTACAACGACATAAACACTCTAGAAGAGCTAGACCAATCAGGGCTACCAATAGCACCAACTTTTTTTACCTTTACGGCTGATACGTCAAAAGTGATGAAAAATTTGAAACAGAGGAAAGTTCGTCCAACGAGGGAAAATATTCTAGATATTGTGGCTTATAATAGGAGTATTGCCAAATTAGAAAGAAAAAGAGACATAATGTGGGTACTCAAAACCAATTTTGTCGATGACGAAGGAGAACCACTGCTACATATCGTCGATGAATGTTTCACGACTTTCTATATCAGCTTCATAGTACCAAAAAATTCAATTTTTCTTCCAACTTTTAACGATGTCATCATCAAGTTGTTCGAAAGTGGTCTGACGAATAAGTGGTACGAAGATGTTCAGTTTAGTTCCTTTGTAGCAAAAATGGACGATATGAAAGTTAAGACGGAAACTTCCGAATCGATTTCTTTTGACGAAATCAAGGCGGTCTTCTATGTGTTGCTTTTAGGACTTGCTCTAAGTCTAGCAGTTTTTTGCCTGGAAGTGTTTCTGGAAATAAATTGGAACTTTAATTATTATAGAATATATGGTTATATAAGTGTCAAACTACCGAATTTATACTTTAAGAAATAAAGGAGTTATTTTTGTTGGTTTGTGCAATCGATCCTTGAAAATAAATCACGCAATGTCGGTGAAGTAATCAATCGATATGTTTATTTCTACACAAACATTATTATCATTGTCGAATCTGTTCTATTCAATTATTAACTTATTCTTTTGTTTAACACGGATATTTTTATTGCGTGCTTTTCACCACTTGCAGTCAATAAAGCACACGTACGAGTTACATTTTTAGAAATGTTTGATTTGATAAAGTACATCTTGACTTTTGGTAGCGTTTTAGGAATAACACCTTTAGTCGATAAAACACGAGACGACATCTGTTCAAAAATATATTCCTTGTGTATAGCAGTTATTTTGACAGTCGGTTTTATGGTGTCTTGGAATTATAAAAGATTAGATTTGAAAGACTTTAGCATTTTAGAGGGAACGATACAAATTTGTACAGATCTAAGCTTATACATGTGTACAATCACATCGATACTATCAGGGTCGATTTTCAAACAAAAAAAATGGAAAAAAATGTGTAACAATTTAAAACAGCTTCAAAGTAACTTATCAGAACGTAATCGTACCTTCTTACCGTACTATTTAGCTTTCGCTGCATACCTTGGAATATTTTGTGTTGTTATAATTTCAACAATAAATTTGTGGTGGAGAGTTGGTAACTACGACTATTTTAAAATGTTTACGATAAATTTAGTCGAATCTTTTACACATCACGTACATTATTCTGTACTATTTGTTTTTACCAAAGCGTTTAGTGTGTACTACCAAAGAGCGAAACTATTATTAATGAAAAAAATTACGATGTACCGAAATCTCGAAGCTACGCTGTCAGGAAAAACACATGAAATATTTTCAGAAGTGTACACCTGTTGGGCGGTTTTAAAAGACTCCGTTGATATTTTCAACGACATCTTTGGTTGGAGAATTCTTCTAAGCTTCACCCATGCTACAGCTTTTATAATTAGTTTTCTTGACGAGATACTGAGAAACAACGACGGGTTTGTTGGTGGTGATTTTTCGCAAGCTACTATAACGAATCTTTGCGCTGTTTGCAATGTTTTTGTAGCGTTGTTGACTGTGGACTTTGGTGAAACTAACTAATTTTGTGTTTTTAGGCGAATATCGTAATTGTTGTAGTTTTGTGTGATCTTGTTTTATTGGAAGCAAGGGAAACTTTACAGATTGCGATTAATTTTCGGGGGATGGTGATGAAGGAAAGTAGAGACTTGGAAAAGATGACTTGTTTCTTGGAAAATAATCTTCCCGAGTTTTCGGCAGCAAGGTTTTTCCGTATTAGCAGATCCACTATTTTTAGTATCGTCAATATTATAATTACTTTTCTTATAATAACGTTACAGTTTAAGTAAAATTAAGTTTTGTACAATTATTTATGACTACTTTTATCATATTTATTTCATTAACTGTATTCATAATCAAACAAAATTTTAGGGAAAGTGTTTGCACTTAGTAGGTATCGAAATCATCATAGCCCAAACTATTGTAAAGATCAACCCAAGCACCATAAATAGCTTCTTTCGGATGATTTTTAATTTCTAAGTTTTCGTTAATATCAACGTAATAAAGATCTCCATTATCTGTTGAGACTGCAGGCCATATAATATTTTGCAGTAATTCTGATGCTTCTGGAGTTGGGTTTCTAAAATGTACTGTTTACATATAGGACTAATCTTACCGATATTTAGCAAAATCGGTCCACAATTTAATAAGACGCTGTCTCGTCACTCTATCAGCTTCTGGGAAATTATTACCATTACATCCATCTCCACTGCAGAACAAATAACCTATTTCTTCGCCATGTCCTACACCATCATAGTGCGTGCTTCCACCTCCCATTTGACCATCGTAAGAGAAGATGTAGAAGTAAGTTTCCGCGACTTTGGAGAAAAGTTCAGCGTGTTTTATGACCGATCTGGTGAAGGAAAGTAGAGTATAAAATGTTACTTCTGGACCAGGGCATTTGGCGTCTTAAAAAACAGGGTAAAATTCTACAAATTTAGTGTTTTCCCAAAAGTA